TACGAAGGCAATTGTGGTCAAAGACTAGAAGCCTTTTCATGTCTTCCACCTTCAATGGCCATGTTTCGCAACCAAACAGTAGAACAGAGTGGACTGGTGTGCAGTGCACGCAACCATTGATAGACAACCGGATATCACGGTGGTGCCATAGGTGACGTAATTTGGTGAAAGGCAACCAAGCCTTTTGTATCCGTGCAGAGATTTCACCGGCCACTGAGCCATCAGGGCTGATCCTACTTCCCAGGCAAGTGAAATGGTCAACTTATTCAACCTTTAAACTCTCTGTTGTTAGCCGTGGTATCGTTGAAGATCACGGCTAACAATAGAGAGTGTAATGGTTGAAACATCAATACTAACCCCTTCTTCTAGTGTTAACCGATGGTAGTCTTCAATGAGAAGTTAAAATAAGTACTAATAAAACGATTCAACTTTACATTCAAGGTATTATATTTGGTTTATGTTGAAATAAATTCTCCTTGGGTTTCCTTAACTCTCTCGATTGCCTTCTGTATTTTCTTCCAATATGTAATGTTTCCTTCTCCAGAAACTCTATCAACTGATTGCCAACTCTAATTACATCTACTAACTGCACATCGTTCTATACTACTTTTATGTGTTCTAATAAGTAGCACGCATCATACTATAACTATTTATTTGTCCAAAAGTCGTTATAATTTATTTGATTACTTGTAGTACTTCTAGATGCCTCATTTTAGCATACAAAGAATAAGTGAACTGAATCAATATGAAACTACGAAGCTGTAGCTCATTGATCATGGTACTTGATTTCCAACCCATAGGTCACGGGTTTGAACCCACTTGCGTCTGCCGAAGTTAGGGCGGGTAGGTATTATTATCAGCCCTGAAACAATATGTGTATCTCTTTGTCAATTGCATAGATTTACACAAGGTTTGTAAGCGAATTTACTTATTAAATCAGGAAATCTGATGAACTAAGCTGAGAGATTTTTAGATGAAAATATTAGTCAAGTATATTGAAATGAGTTACGCAATATTACTTACAGATATAAATTATAAAATAGTTTAGGGACTGCTATAATGATACTTGTAATTTTCCGTTGCTATACAGGGCCAAATTGCCCGACCTCTGTTGGCAGATGGCATCCTATGTGAATACCTCGAGACTTCTGAATATTCGTAATGCTTTATTGGTCTTGGTGACTAGCAGAAGAATCCAGGGCGCGCGTTTCGTCCTATTTGGGACTTGTTACCTCAGTCAGTGATGTTGTTACCACTGAGACTGGAACCCAGTACCCTTCATTCAGAAGGCCAGAGCGCTATTCATTAAGCTACTGGGGGAGCGACAGCCACCTCTTGTGGCTTACTGGCTCAATAGATAAAGCCCTGGCATTTGAAGCTAAGAATGCTGGGTTTGAGCCTCAGTAGGAACAATATCATTCACTACGGTGCAGGTACATCCAGCTATTGAGTCCTAAATAAGACAAAACGTGCTTCCTGGATTCCTCCGCTAGTCACTAAGATCAATATAATGATTTGGAAGCTTTTGTAATTTGACATACTGATATTCCGATGAAACAATTAACTACACTAAGTATCCTCATAGGATCAGTTTGATGAGATCCAAGTTTTTCTCTTCAGTGTAACTTCATAGAATAATAGAACGTAAGGTTATACGATTGATGGTGCACTTCACTTTTAGATATCAAGGAATCACCCAGGTGTAATGAGATCTATCAGTTTGTATTTTTGTTGAAGCTGTCATTCGGTCGACTTCATGCTTCATCTCCTGGGTTCAGATCTATCCTGCCTGATTCTGTTCAGAAAGCCAATTTGTGACTAACAGACAAGTGCATAAAAGTTAAGCATCATAAATTCATATAAATTTAATATGCAGATATTGTATCTTTAATATCCCTTTGATTCGAATCAAGTCCAATTTGCAAATTGTGATTAGTATACTATTAGTGCATAACTTAGGTCATCCATCTTTAGCTAGATGGTCTTCTTTGATGATAACAGCTGAACAACTGCTGAAAATCAGAAAGTGATGGACAAGTAATCTACCTATCTTACTTTATAACTTTTCAACAGTACATTCTGGTAACTTCATGCAGAAAGAAGCCTAAGGATTATAAGTCTTGTGGAGAATGTATCATCCTTCGAGTGCATTGGCTTACAATTTCCTACTTCTGTTAATTCAACGTATCAGTCACTGATACTAGCTAAATGTTATCAGTGAGGATATATATTCGTCTCCGAGTTAGTTTATTCCAAATATCATAGCACCATGTATTTCTAGCTTAGGCATTTATGAGCAGTGAGAAATAATTCTTGATTTGAATGGTTCCTGAACGATTCGTTGATTCTATGATGGCTTTCATCATACATTGGAAAAAGTAGGAAAAAACTATTTAAACAGCACTGGACTGAACTACTTTTTTTACTTAGTCCTAAGTGCTGCTGATCAAAATATTCCTATCGATCATTCTGCAGTGTGGCCAGTAAGCTAGTTGACTCAACATCGCGATGCAGTTTGATAGACATAAGTTAGATGGAGGCAGTCGACAGGAAGCCTTTGACCAAGGTTTCTGGCTTTTTGGCACCCATCACTGAGGCGTTTCTGCAACCTCAATGGAACTGATGTCCCACCTAAGATTCGAACTCGCATCATCCAGTGCTGCAGTCAAAGACGTTACCAATGAGTTATTCGGGCCGCTACTGAGCTTCTGTAGGACTGGATTGGTAAAATTCGATCAGTACTCTGAACTAGACAACGTGAAGTTTGTTACTGTTCAGTGGCCAATCAGTGTGCCTAATCCAGTCCCAAAGGAGACCAGTCACGGCCCCAATAGCTCAGTGATAGCTTCTCTGACTGTAGCACTGGGTGACTCGCTTTTGAATCTCAGTCAAGACATCAGTTCCGTCGAGGTTGCAGATATGCCTTACTGACGTGCCAAAAAGCAAGAAACCTAGCTAGATTCAGGTCTTCCTGCCAATTTCCTCCATCCATCTGAGATGTTATCCATCTCTAACTGACATCAAATAGAGAAATATTGGAAATCTGAAGGTACTGTACAACTGTTTCTTCCCGGTGTGAGACTCATCAGCATTATGAGCTTACAATTTCACCAGGGATAAAAAGCATAACCTTCACGTCTCATGGAGAGCATACTGCCACTCAACCACTAGATGGAAGTTCTGATGAAAGTCAAATTTTTACCCTCTTATAAGTTTCACTGTCTAATCTGACTGACAGCATAACGAATCTATTATCCAGTTTAACATAAGTAACAATCGGGATTATTTTCTTAAGTTCTACATGTAGATTGTGTTGTTACAAGTTAAATGAAATGAATAACTCATTGGAAATTTTATAGAGTACTTTTAGCTGACTTCAGATTATTTGCACTGACAGTTTATAACACTAAGATACACACTGAGTTTCATGATAAATATTTAGACACAATAGTGTTATGTTATGCAATACATTAAGAAATGGATGGTTATTAAATTTTGATCGAATTTTTTCAAAGTTGACATCTTTTATATTCAATAACAAAGTTGTCAAATAGATGAATATTGTTGTGTCAATTATTGAACTAATGAAATAGTTAACAAAACGTTTTAGTTTCCAGTTACCATAGTTGCTATTTGAATCGTTCATTTTGGAATTCTTGCATCGATAGCCAACATTAGCCTTATATAAAATCAAATTTGGGGGGGTTGTGGAGATTTGGAAATATTTCAAGTTGTTATTCATCGAAGACTGACATCAGTTGGAGGAACAAAGGAAACCTGGGAGCACTGGACAGCTGTTTCGTCCTAGTATGGGACTCCTCAGCAGTGCACACCCACGACCCCACACCTCCAGGGATCGAACCCGCGACCTTCAGGTTCCGCGGCCAGCGCGTTACCATTGAGCCACTGGGTCAGAATCCAATGCTCCATATTTCCGACTTCTGTTAGCTCACGATATATAGCTCAAACGCCACCCAATGTCATCGTTGAGTATTTGTCCTCATGGCCATCAGGCTTTGACTCCACCGGTCACGACTTGTCATTGGAACTTCGGGAATACTTCTCGAAGCTAGTCACCAAATCTCCACAACCCCTCAAAATCTAATTGAACTAGTGCTCGTTGGTGACTAGCTTCGAGAAGTATTCCCGAAGTTCCAATGACAAGTCGTGACCGGTGGAGTCAAAGCCTGATGGCCATGAGGACAAATACTCAACGATGACATTGGGTGGCGGTTTGCGCTATATATCGTGAGCTAACAGAAGTTGGAAATATGGAGCATTGGATTCTGACCCAGTGGCTCAATGGTAACGTGCTGATCGCGGAACCTGAAGGTCGCGGGTTCGATCCCTGGAGGTGTGGGGTCGTGGGTGTGCACTGCTGAGGAGTCCCATACTAGGACGAAACAGCTGTCCAGTGCTCCCAGGTTTCCTTTGTTCCTCCAACTGATGTCAGTCTTCGATGAATAACAACTTGAATTATATAAAGTCGTTATTTTACCTACGACCTGACATTAATTATAGAACATTGAAATCCTAAAAGAACTAGATGTCTATTTCGTCCTAGTTTCTTGTACTCCTTCAATAGAACACATTGAAAACTTAATCAGGGATCAAACCCAAAACTATCAAGTCTTATGACTTGCAAGTTACTGGGTATTGGGACAAATACTTGCCAATAACATTCAATGATGGTAAGATGATATCGTGAATTGAAAGAAGTAGTAAAATGTGTAGACATAAGGGTTACTAATACAGTGACTCAATGAAAATGTGTTAGATAGAAAACTTTATGATTATGAAGTCGATTTCTTGTGAAGCTATGGGTGGACCCTAGTGACTTCTATTAGACTAGAAAAGAATAGCTGTCAATTACTCTCAGATTTCTAATAATTCTCCAGTTAATGCCAGTCTGTAATAAAAACTACTTAAATTATATCATTCCTGACAAATCACTGAGTGAATTACCTTAATCTTTTTTTACTATGCAATTTTAATCTAAGGTTCAACAAGCGAATCTATCGGAAAGATATTATACTGTCAATCCTTTATCCTCGCCTACAATGCCACCATTAAATCCTAGTTTTCTTCATGATACACGACGCTGTCAATCGGGAAATAGTTTGTCTGAACAAAGAAGCCACCACCACCACCACCACCAACAACAACAACAGCTGCAAGCCACACAATACCAGCAAACAATGCCTACTTCAAATACACAAATACTAAAAGCTGGTATGGCTTATTCCACTGACTCAAATATTATTTATCCTTCAGTTAATCCACCATCTGTACAATATACACAGTTGGACAATAGTTTATCTAGCCCAAATATACAGCAGTATTCACCTCGAAGTTATCCATTTGTCCCACCAATTTCATACCGTCCTACGACACAAGCTGCCAATCTAAACTGTATACCAACAACGCAATATAATTATCCAACTGGGAATAATATTTCATCTACTACCACCACTACTACTATTACTACTACCACTACTACTACATCTACTGCTAGTGCTTCCGATAAGTCAAGTATAGGTAGACGTCGCGGACGACTTCAAGATTCCTCTGAAACAGGTCAAGTTCAAAGTCCTTACAGCCATTATCCAAACCAAGTTGCACAAGTCACCACAGTGACACAAGCAAGAGTGACAGCTACAACAGCAACAACAATAACAACATCAGTTAGACCAGAAATGAGTGTAAACAATACACCAGCGAATGCTGCATACAAGTATTCACCTTATATGCCATCTCAAACAATGAACAGTAAGTAAATTTACTGATTAATTTGATGGGGTTTGATAAAAAATGAGTAAAATTTAAGTATATTGAATCACCAATTAAAAGGAATACTTTGGTTTACTGGATTGTTTCATTGCCATCAAGTAATTAACATGCTAGATGCTAGTAATCAATTGCCAAGAGGTTTTACTTAATCTAGGCGTCATGCTTGTTAAAACTCATCAACTAGGCGCATCTGCAACTATAAGGCAACCAGTAAACCTTCAGTCTACTAACCCTGCCTCACTGAGCGATGAATTAAGAGACTTAACCATCGAACTATTCTGACGATGACTGACACCTTGTAAGAATGGAGTTGCTCGTCATAGTTGTTCGCTTTTCTTCAAACTTCAGGATTTATTCTTGGAGGTCTCATCATTATGTTAGTCAACTTCATCATAGACAGATAGACAGACAATAAACGTAGAACCTGGTACATAAGCGAATCAGTTCAAATTGTCCCACTTGACAGTAGCATACAAAGAACAAGTGGATAGAAAACGAGTGATATCAAGGTAGACAAACGTGTATAAGAGGAGAGAGAATTTAAAAATGACGGTTAGTCAAAGTACTCAAGATGTCAAGTAGTGAATACATCTGCATCACTGTGACCAATGTTTACCTATTATATCAACGTTCCCTTCATAAAGAAGTTATTAGGGAGCAAGCAGTCAATACAAATCATTCAGTGTATCATACAGGACGTCATTAATGATCTGAATTGCTCAGTGGTAACATCATCTAGAGCACTGGACGATACAGCCTAAGGGTATGTGAAGCGAGGAGACTGTAGTTACCTCTAAGTCACATATGAACCTTACTTTTGCATGCTAACAAGATTGGTTATCAGACGGAAAGTTAGTTTAGACTGATGACAAGTCAGCCTACCTATAAAGAGTGAAATAAAGCGCCACAGCAGCATATTTACACTATTCCTATGGATGTACACTTCTTGTTATCTTTTGGCCAGAAAAGGACAATGTATTAGACTTGCTGATGCTGCCTGAGTATTCATACTGAAATACGTTCATTCAGGCATGCAGTTGAGGCAACCAGTTATTGTTATTACTGTTATAATGAAATGTAAGTTTTATTTTCTTAAACGTAGATAACATCATGTAGAATGGCAGACTTATTATGAGCCTATTGGTAGTTACACATGGGTACTTTATCTGACTTAGTCAAGAAGATTAACGGTAATGCAGAAAGTTGTTTACAGTATCACTTTTTAACGATCATTACTCACAGCAGTTTGTCAATAAAGTCTTCCTACATAGCCTAACACCTAAACAGTCACTCAACACTATGATCCTGTGCATTTTTTGATCATTATTTGTAGAAAGTTGACACTGAAGTCAAAACTGCCGTTAGCACACTGTCTTTGCAGTCGAGAAAAGTTATATTGCCGGCATCCATCTTCCTTTTGATTGTGAACACATAACTATTGATAAGTTTGTACTGGGTGATGGTTGAAGGTGAAAGGAAGATTTGAACCGCAGCCGGACTCGAACTAGCGACCACCGGGTCTCCGGCCCGATGCTTTACCAACTAAGCTGTGATGTCCGACTACTGACCAGATTTTTACTTCAGTTCAATCACCAAGGGTTCTGTCCGACTATGATGCTCCCCCTTCTTTAACTTAGATTTGGATTGTGAAGAGAAGTCCTGACTAGGCAGTCAGTGTGAATACGATCAAGCGGTAGTAACGCGTCACAAATTCACATGGTAGACGGGCAAAACCCTTGTTGATTGAAGTGAAATAAAATTCTGGTCAGCAGTCCGACCTCATGGCTCAGTTGTTAGAGCAACGAGCCAGAAACCTGGTGTTCGCTGGTTTGAATCCGGCTGCGGTTCAGATTTTCATCTCACCTTGAATCATCACCTAGTATAAATACTAGTCTGCCAAACCACGGTTGCTATCTCAGACAGTCAAATGATATTGATAAATTGGTTTATTGATGAAAAGTCAGATCCATGAAGTAGGATAAATAGACATAAATCAAGCACTTGCACAATGATACTTAATTTCAATTTGTCATAGTTCACTAAGGTTGGAAACGTAAAAAGGTAAAAATCCTCACTGAATTAAACAAGATGAGGAATGAGGTGAAATAGTTATAAGATAAAGGATGAACACATGTGTGTGATTTTGAATTATTTCTAACATTTTGTGGATACCAGAAAGGTTATCTCCACAACACTCACTCTTTTTATTGATTGGTCAGATATCTTGCTGTAACGAATCTCATAAGTTTACCGGTCTAATCTTACTTAAGGAATCGCCTATCCCATTTCAAAGGTTTTTAGGAAACTAATTGATTTCAAGGACTGATATGAGTTGGAGAATCATTGAAGACCTTGGTTGTATTGTGTCCTTTGAGCTGGGTTATTTAATCGTGAAGCTTTCATTGTCCTTCTAGACGACATCGTCAGCACTTTATCAGAAGATGCCTATCCCCTACATCATCAACTACAAAGTCATCGACAGAAATCAATAAACTCATCATCCTACCATACATAAAGAATATATCAGAAATCATGACAAGATTACTGAGACCACTTAGTGGAATTGGTGTAGCTTATAAACCAACAAATTCCCTGCAAACATTATTATGCAGACCAAATGATGCAACAACCAAGGAAGACAAACCAAATATCGTCTACAAAATCAACTGTAATAACTGTAGTCAACATTACTTTGGACAAAGTGGTCTTCCTCTTCGCCTTCGCTTACATGAACACCAATTGGCTATTAAACGTCACACACGACATTTCATCACTCATTTCAGTGCACATGGATAACAACTATGGACATGAATTCAATTTCGACAAAGTAGAAATTTTGAATGGAAAGAGGAAACACTAAGAATGTCAGAGAATTCCAAGAAGCTTGGCATTCAGGTCAGTCAATCAGCAATCCGTGGAGAGATGTATAGGCATAGACCCAATCTATCAACCAATAAGAAAAAAGATAAATGACAGATCAGAGGTCAACAAGAACAGTCACAACAATCAAAGGAAACAACCAATCACAAACCAGTTGGTCAGGGAGAGCTACTAAAACACTTATGGAGAGATATTGACAGCTCACTTCATAGTGAAGTTAGTGGTGATCATGTCGTCTAGAAGGACGATGAAAGCTTCACGATTAAACAACCCAGCTCAGAGAACACAATACAACCAAGACCATCCACCTGAGCTACAAATATTCTCCATTATTTCAATCATTGAAGACCTGGTAGTACTGGACAACTGTTTCGTACTGATATGAGACTCTTCAGGGGTGCGCACCCAAAACCCCATATCGTTTCACCAGAGATCCAACATGAGACGTTCAGTTTCCGTGTGCAGTACGGTACCATCCAGTCATTGGGATGGAATCCAATAATCCTAGTTCTGTTAGTTCATGGTATAGCTCATCCTTTATCCAGTAATGTGTTGAATGACTGTCTTCATGGCCATGGTCACGAATTTTTATTAGAATAAGTAAATAACCTACTTTGGTTGGTCAACTGTAGGATAAACCATTCAATAAGCTTATAACTTAAAGTGTTGGCCACATCTTATTATTCTATATGTATAAATTTATTGAATTTGTCATACTGTAATATTCTTTTTGTGTTGACATTAGATCAAATGCAAGAAGTTAATCAACCATTATCAGAAATTCATAATCATTCATCTTATTCGAATAATTCTTCTCAACCTATTATCTCAACAATTGACAATATAAATAATGAAATTGTAAATACTTCAATAAATTTGAATCTTTTCTCTTCTATAAATCAAACCAATAAAAATTCAAGAAAGTCAATTGATAATACAGAACAACGTCGTAAAGCTCGTGAACTTTATGTTGCATTAAAACAACGTTATCCATTAACTAATCAAACAACATTAAATGATTCAATAAATTTACAGAATACATCAAATAATTTAATTATAACACAAAATTTTGAATCAAAACTTCCATTAATCAATCAAAATATTAATGAAAAACAATTACAAGAAAATATTAATAAAATTTCAATTAAACAAAATAAACATTTATCTGATGAGAATTTACAAAATTTTAATGAACAATCTATTGAAAATAATAATAGTCATCAATTACAAGAGAATTTTCAATCAAATATAAATTATTCAAAATTCAATGAAATTGAAAAGAATAATAATCATTTCAATGTGTTCAATTCAATGACTTCAGTAAAACAACAACAATATAATGAAAATAAATTACAAGATAATATAATTGAAAATATTAAATCGATATCATCTGATAAGTTGATTGAAATATGTGGTTATCAATCAGATAGTGGAATAGAATTTAATAATTTCTCACAAAATAATAATTTAGATATTAATATAAATGAAAAAATTATATCAACATTACCAATAAAAACGAAAAAAATAGATAAAAATTATCATCAATATAAATTAGATAATAATAATAATAATAATATGAATATTATTGATTCATTAAGAAAAAATTTATATCCATCATATATTAATAATCAGTCAAAAGTAATGAATTTCAATACACCCTTAATGAAATTATGTAATCAAAAAGAGAATTATAATAAAGACGAAGAGAATTTAGAGAATTATGCACGTCGTATGCATGAAAGATTACAAGAAGGTATGAAAGCAGCTCAAGAATCATTATGGATGCCTGATTTACCTGATTTATCTATGAAACAATTGAGTAATTCATCTATTCATTCACCTGAAACACATCCATTAGATATGATAATAAATTTAAGGTGATTAATTATTTTTATTTATTATACTATATATTGATTAATCATTTATGATGTCAAATTTTGAGGGAGTTGTGGAGATTTCGAATTATTTCAAGTTGTTATCGTAGACTGACATCAGTTGGAGGAACAAAGGAAACCTGGGAGCACTGGAGCACTAGTATGGGACTCTTCAGCAGTGCGCACCCACGACTCCACCAAGAGGGATCGAACCCGCGACCTTCAGGTTCCGCAGCCAGCGCATTACCATTGAGCCACTGGGTCAGAATCCAATGCTTCATATTTCCAACTTCTGTTAGCTCACGATATATAGTGCTAACCGCCACCCAATGTCAACGCTGAGTGTCTGTCTTCATGGCCATCAAGCTTCGACTCCACTGGTCACGATCCCTGCTAGTGGGGTCGTGGGTGCGTACTGCTGAGGAGTCCCATACTAGGACGAAACAGCTGTCCAATGCTCCCAGGTTTCCTTTGTTCCTCCAACTGATGTCAGTCTACGATAACAACTTGAAATAATTTATGATGTCAATTAAAATTGTAATTCAATATTTGATAGACTTTTAATGATGATATCTATTCGTACTAATTGTAAACATCTGTACCGATTCATATCTTGGATTAGTTATAGTTTCTTATGGTAACGTCTAAAATCTACTTAAATTGATTCATTCACCACAGATATACTTTTTTGTATATCATACCTGTTGAAGAAACATGAAAACCTGGAAAACATTTCAACTAAACACATTGAAGTTTAGATTTTCAACACTAATTCAGTTGAGTAACTCAGTGCTTCTATGATATAGTTAAAAGACTTGATGCATTACGAAAAACATTTCCAACAAACTACACATATTCATCAACAGCTGCCACCTATGCTCACTAGATAGTGAAGATCAGATGACCAGGAAGAATAAGCAACAACAAACTCTGGGAACGAACTAACCATAAACCTATCACCCAACAAATAGGCAGTAGAAGAAAGTGGAGATGGATTGGGTATACACTGAGAAGGCCGATTGAGGATATCACATGCCAAACGTGTCACGACGTTTAATAGCCAATCGGTGTTCATGTAGACGGAGATGAAGACGGTGATCACTTCACATCAGGACATTTCATGGCTGATTTCAATGCAATAGGATAACAACTATGGAGATGAATTCACCTTTGGCAATGTAGAATTCTTGGACAGAGGAAACACAAAAAATATCAGAGAATTTCTAGGAACCTGGCATTCAGGTCAGTCAATCAGTCAGCAATCAATAAAGAGATGTGTGGACCCAATCTGTCAACCGATGAGATAAATGATAAATGGCAGAAAGGTCAGAAGTCAAGCAGAGGAACGCCTAACAGGAGAATCTGTACAGTCAGTGACACAACAATCAAAGGAAACAACCAATCACAAACCAGTTGGTCAGGAAATGCTACTAAATCACTCACAGAGAAAGACTGACGGCTTACAAGTTAGTGCTGATGTCGTCTAGAGAGACGATGAAATCTCCACAATTAAACAATCCAGCTCAGAGAACACAATATAAACAAGTTGTTTATTATATCTAGAATTTCATTCATTTGTTTCGAATGATGTTTTGGCTCCAATGTGTTGAGAAAACAAGGCACCCGATCTGTATTTTTCAAAAATCTCTAATACTAAGACTTTGTCGAAATCGGAAATCACGTAACTAGTGTCTTACAGGACAACACCACAAACCAAACCTTTATTGGACTTAATTGTTTCAGTATAATGTTACTCCGTGATGCACACTACCTTCAAAATAAAAATTCCCCATTTACCTCAAAATACATTGCCGTATTGTGCTCATTAGTGGCATGTCTCGAAATGGGTATCCTGAGATTTTAATGAGAAGTCATGACCTGTGGAATCAACCATTCAGAAGTGAAGCGCAGACCAACTGAAGGCGCTGGTGGATAGTTGAGCTATATCACATGAACTGACACAAGTAGGAAACTGTGAAGCGTTGAACTCCGATCTAGTGGATGAATGGTTAGTGTATTCACCGGGAAACTTTAAGGTCACGGGTTCTATTTCTAGTAGGGTCGTTGATACGTACTGCCAATGAGTACAGTGCCAGAACGAAACAGTTTTCCAGTGCCCCAAGGTTTTCAGCGGTTCCCCCAAATGGTATCACTTCGTGCTGATTGATGACTTAAAAGTAACAGGGAGTATTTATAATTCGGAAAGATGTTTTTGATACTGTTGTTTCTAACAGTTAAATGGTCTAATTGTTAAACTTCAACTATCATTCTTCATCATATCATCGACAAAATCGTCAGATTGAAATGATCTACGAAAATCTCTTCACAAGTGTTTTAATAGTTTGTTTCGATAATCTAGAAAAGAGTTGGTTGTCACTGCAATTTGTTTTCAGATTCTTCTTCTCCAAAAGCTACATTAAATCGCTTTTTAATCATATCGTATAGTAATGTAATGTCCACATGGTAGTCAAAACACCTACCGATATAAAACTGTTCTCCAGACATTGTAAGAATAAGCGTTACATAAGAAGCCTTGAAAGATTTGGCAGAATGACAGTGTAGTAATGTTGAAATGAGAACCATACATCAGCTGAAATGGAGAATAAAAGAGCATTAGTGATAGAACCAGTAAATAATTGTAGGTGAAGTAGACGATGAAGAATCGGAATCTTAGACGAAATTTTATGGGATAACAGAACAAAGTCAACTGACCAATGTACATAGAGAAATAGCTTTTAATCGGTCCTTTGTATTACCACCTACATGATTATTAGAAACCTAGGGGCACTGGACAGGTATTTTGTCCCATTTCAGGACTCCTTAACATTACATGCCCACCATCTTGCTATAGATACGTTACTACTCAGCCTCTGTGTTGAGATTCTGTGTTGTTACTTCTCTGTGTTGATCAGTAACATGTTAAGTCAAAAATCAAGTCAATTTACTTGAACAATTTGACAATTCTTATACACTTTGATGAGTGTTTTAAACGGTGACACCTTAATCCATTACAAAAAGAGACATTTGTGTTGAGAGGAATCAATCAAACTGTATCAGATAACTCCCTACTGTTTACTAATCTTTTTATTTGATAAATTTTATAAAAGAATTCCTGCAGACTCATATTGTTTATGTTAGCATTTCTCTATACACAAAGGGTTCAAAGTTCAATGCAGCATTTCATCTTTTAATGTGTATTTATGAAGTACAAATGAACAGAAAGTATAGTGCATAGTTGATTCATGAAGCATTAAAATATCATCATTGCAATGATAAAAGAACGATCACTCTACATAATTCCTTTATGATATAACTATAGTAGTTTATGTTGTAATCATTATTTATGTATAGATCGCCTCATATTAAGTGCCTATAGATATTACATATCTTTGTATTGTTATGTAATTTATTTTGACTTTGGCAGAAAAAATTTCTCTGAAATGTTTTATCATATCTTCAATGAATGTACAGTTAAATGAATGATTTTTTTTTTAGAAAGGAAAATTTTTCATAGATACAATAGTCTTCAGTCATTGCATATATCTGATAAAACCATTGATTGATAATAGTTGATTAGTTTAGCGAAAGAAAATGAGATCTAGGGTTATATAGAATAAAGCATAGTACTATGCTATGAAGTTAACTAATCTAAGAAGAGATATATGTAAGAAAACAGTAGGATACGTGAAAGGATTCTATAAAATGGAAATACTTTTAAAATAGAATATCGAAATTAGTGACATGGGCATTAAATGAAATTTTACAACTAGGAATTTATACACTGAAATGAACAGTATTTCCCTTATTCCCTTTTAGTCTGTTGATTAGAAATATCACACAGTAAAACAGTATCATTTACTTGATAACGTTTCTGACATTCAACCCAACAAACTTGCTTGGACACAAGCTTTGTAGGTTAGAAGATCCTATTGATGCAATTAAGTAAAATAATCTGGTCAACCGAATCTCTTGCAGTAATGATTGGAAGGTCAAATGCATAGGTCAAAGTAGTCGACCAGAGTCGATTAGAATAACGGAGCAGAAAAACTTAGCTAAATCAAGATTAGTAGATTCTAATATCATAAAAAATTCAGAGATGTGCTCGGCTATAGCTCTGCACGCAATTACATACAATCACAAATGAGGGTTGAGGGAGAGATTGATAACCGAATCTTTCTTTTGGATTTTGAGGGAGTTGTGGAGATGTGGAAATATTTTAAGTTGTTATTCATCGTAGAATGACATCAGTTGGAGGAACAAAGGAAACCTGGGAGTACTGGACGCGCTGGTCACGGAACCTGAAGGTCGCGGGTTCGATCCCTGCCAGTGGGGTCGTGGGTGCGCACTGCTGAGGAGTCCCATACTAGGACGAAACAGCTGTTTAGTGCTCCCAGGTTTCCTTCGTTCCTCCAACTGATGTCATTTTAAGATGAATAACAACTTGGAATCTTTCTTTATCGAATCAACACCAAATACATGCAATCGAAATGATTCTGCACCTGTCCCAGATATATGGAAGATTCTACTATCCTTATCATCACAGAGAAGGAGAGAAAATTAGGAATATACATAAAGCCTGTCTGAAAGTTATGGAGTTAGTTACCTGATATGAATATATACAATAAATTATTTTCCAAAGATTATCAAGTAAATGATACTGTTTCACTTTGTGATATTTCTAATAAATAGACTAAAATGGAATTACAATCTACCATAGTACCCAAGTTTTAATGAAGTATTCCGTTATCCATTTGGTTTTGTTAACCAATTTTATATGTGAATGCATTACTATATTGATTATCACAATAATTTCATGTTGTGAATAAGTTTTTAATATTTTCCATAGATTTTGGGTTTCTTTGAAGAAGTACAACATTAAAACTGCATATCATAACATATGTGTATGTGGTTCAAAGTTTGTGAGGATTTTTTTTTATTGATTTCATAGACTGACATCAGCAGAAGAACCATAGAAAACCTGAGAGAACTAGATAGGTTGTTTCAACCGTAAACATAGAATCTGCATTAACCATAAACTAAATTATTGTCTAGTGTTCACTTTTACAATGCTTCGAGATGGATATACTAAAGTCCTAATGAGAAGCCATGCACTGTGGGATCAACCAATCAGAAATAAAGAGGATGTCAACTAAAGGAAGACTTTGGTCGATAGTCAGGGTACATTGCGATATAAGTTGGAAAGTGTAGATCATTGAACTTTGACCTAATGGTTGATTAATTAAAACGTTTGCTGATGAATAGTTTCATCCATGGATGAAGCAATTGTTTAATCCCTTAAGGGTTTTACCTAGTTCTCTGAAGAATGACAGTCCGTGGTGAATACAATCTTAGAGAAAAGTATACCTATATATACAGGAGTTCTTCTATGTTATTTTTTTTGTTTTATAGTTCTAATATTGAAGGTAACAAGTACAAATCAATATCAGACACTGAAACAGAACAAACATCTCATCCAAATCAAAATGTGAAGAAAGAAATGATAGATAAAACTGAAAATTTGAGTATAGGAAAAAATTTACCATCTTTTACTAATTCTATAAGCAGTACTAGTTCAAAGCAAATCAGTTCACGAATAAATTGTTATTCATCCTTGAATTTAGGATTTCATTTACCAAATAAATCATATGAAAATCAACCAATCATAAGAAGTTTTAATTCTCAATATATCAGTAATGATAAAATTATTGAACATGATCTAACCAATGAATATAGTAGGTGGGATTTCAAAAATGGTGTATGTTCTGATGTTGAAGATTTACTTAATCAACATGAAAGACGACTAATTTCACTTTCAGGAGAAGGTAAAGTTTGATATATGTATATATTTACTACTTTTAAGTAAATAATCTTGTTTAAATATTATATTTGTCAGTGTTTAGAAACCAATGAATATACGGATCAGATTAATATCCTTTATATTGAAGATATAACATTCTCTATAGTCATTAAGTAAAGTGAGACTTTAAATGATTCCAAGCCATAAGCCGCGGTATATAAATTGTCAGATACTTGGTATTCATGACAAAGAAATATATACAGCTGTGATAAATTCATTCTTTATTCTTAGCTTGAAAACTTCGACTTATAGGATACTACAATCACCTTGCTAATACACATAAAACAGCTATATCATTCAAACTGGTCTTTCAAAAATAACACCAAGATTAATACTAAAATATTTATGGCCCAAAAATGAGGTTCACAAAATGGTATATAACGCAAACAGGTGGAAAGATGATTCCGGGCTTTAATATTTGAGAATAAGATGAAAAATATATTGCATTATGTTTTAAGCATGCTGTCAAAAGTTATTTGATTGTTATTAAGGCTACATAGTTACTTGATTGTTATTTCTCTGTGAATTCAAAATCTTGGTGATACACTTTAGGGTTGTGTAAATAAACTATTGATACTGGATGATGGTCGAAGATGAAATGAAACTTTACACTACGGCAGGGTTCGAACCAGCGACCACCGGGTTTCCGACACCGATGCTCTACCAAATGACCTACGATTTACAACTGCTGACCAGATCTTCGTTCAGTCATTTCAACCATCATGTAAATTCATGCTGTGCTATTACCACTTGATCGTGTAAAACATCATACAGTATTATGACTAAAGTCTTGGCAAGAACTGGCACGGAATCATGCTCCTGTCAACCCCAAAGCAAAATATTAAGCCACATCATCCTAGAGAGACTAAAACATGCGCTGCATTCAAAATTACCACCGGAATAGGCTGGCTGGCTGGCTTCACGAAGAACAAATCATGTGGGGATCAAATTGCAACGCTAAACCACGCATCATCATAGAACAGAGTAGAGAATGACAGTCAACTCAACTCTACCTCAACTTCATCAACTTTTAAAAGGCCCTCAACGGCGTCGATCGAGAAGTAATTTGACAACTTCTTTAACACTACGGTTTTAGTGCCACAAGCATTTATCAACCTCATTCAACAACTATGTACTATATGATGCTACATGCTACACTCCAAGTGGTTCACAAAGGAAAGCTCAGTGATGTGTTTAGAGTGAAGATAGGAGTAAGACAAGGTTGCCTACTATCATCATAGATGATTTTGCTGATTTCGATGGACTGGACTGGACAGGATCATGCAAGAAACTGTGAAGAGCAAGAAGATGGGCATACACTGGCCACACCTATGGGAAAACCCCAGAAGAAGATTTGGATTTCGCCAATGATGATGTATGTCTAATGTCTCACTCATGTCGTACAAACTCAGTATCTACAGGTAAAAACTAACAAGTTGACAGAAGCAGTGAGGCAGAGAAGACGGGACTTCAGGTGAACGTAGAGGAGAGAGAGGTGATGGAGATGCCCAACCAACAACAACAAAAACAAGAACCAATCACCGTCAACAGGAGGAATCTGAAGGAAGTTGTCTCTTTCATCTACCTACCTGGGAATCATCTCAACTACAGGCGGCGGCACAGATGAGGACGTCGATGCCAGCCTGGATAACAAAGACAACAAGACAGGCCTTCTTTAATCTGAAATCAGTGTGGAGATCTACTGCATTGCACTACACTGCACTCAGTATAAAGCGTGAACAACATCCGGCTTTTCAACACTAATTTAGGTCAAGTTATTGCTTCTATGTGATGGTTAAGAGAGTTGGTGCGTTACGAAAAGCATTTCCAACAAACTACAGACATTCATCAACAACTGCCTACACTGGCTCAATACTGACACTGAAGATCAGATGTCCAGAATAGAATGATAAGAATAAGAAACAAGGAACTCTGGCTGGCTGGCTGGCTGGCTGGCTGGCTGGCTGGCTGGCTGGCTGGCTGGCTGGCTGGCTGGCTGGCTGGCTGGCTGGCTGGCTGGCTGGCTGGCTGGCTGGCTGGCTGGCTGGCTGGCTGGCTGGCTGGCTGGCTGGCTGGCTGGCTGGCTGGCTGGCTGGCTGGCTGGCTGGCTGGCTGGCTGGCTGGCTGGCTGGCTGGCTGGCTGGCTGGCTGGCTGGCAACGAACCAAGAACCCATCACCCAACAAATATGCAGGTGAAGAAAGTGGAGGTGGATTGGGCATACACTGAGAGGACGGATTAGGGACATCACGTGTCAAGCTAGGGCTTCACGTGGAATCCAAAAGGGAAACGATGAGTTGGGTGTCCGAGGCGAGGGTGACATAGAGGAGATCATGTGAGGAAGAAATGAGAGCTTCTGGGCAGTGATGGAGTTAGGTTAAAAAGACTTTAGAGAAGAGAGTGAAATAGTGACGTGCTACTGAATCCCTATGTCCCAGTAGGAACTCAAAGGAAAAAATAAATAAATTGTACAAAATATTCCCTTTCGAAATGAATTAATTACATTTATATATTTATATCTTTGTAGATGGTGGTAAGAAAGCCTATGAATTAACAAAATTCAATTCAGCGTCAGATACAGAAGAACTTCTATCCAATGAATACAGAATACCAACCTCATTGAAATGTATGAATTATGCATACAACGGATCTGATCCTATCCATCCATCATACAACTGGCTAAGGAAAGTGAATAATGAAACGGTTGGAGATGGACTGCATAACCGTTACTTTGTTCCGCCAAGATTAAATAAACTTGACTGTAATATAAATCAACCAGACAGACCGATCTTTACACCAGGGATTTCTTCAAGTTTACTTACAAGAGCTAAACGAAAACAAATCGAAGGTAGATCTTCTTCTATAGTGAATGATGATGCTGAAAAAATTTACGGGATTGTTCCATTATCACCATCCTATTTATATCATCAATTTATTCCATCAACTGGTATGATAATGAAAGGATTAAATGGTAGTAGCAACCGAAATAATCAAGACAGTGAATCAACTCTACCAGGTACTATAAGTGCTCCACCTGGAACACCAATTAAACTACCTTATGCTCCACCAGCTAGTCTGATTGGTACAACTTCTGGTTTTAGCTGTCCAAATTCAAGTTCACAAATAATCAATGATGGAGGTAGGTTATAAAGATAATTTTTTTATTAGGTTCAATTTGATTGATACTAACAGGAGTTTATGGGATATGAAACTGATCTGAATAAATGAAAATGGTATCACTATAAAGAAGGATCTCATGTACTTGGTTCCCTAAATAAAGCAAGAAGGAAGAGATTCATAGAATCAAATGAAATCATTTCATTCTATAGGTTTGTTACCAGCTTCAGACAGTGTAAATTTACGGTGTGGATTAGACTAAAAATATTTTTTTAACATACATTAACTGAGTAAGATATTGATAGTCAGTGAGCTGAGAATTCTTAGTGATATGGCTGAAAATCAATCAGAATGACGTGGAAGTATTCCCTCTTTGACATCTTCTCGAGCCTAAATATTCGCACCAACCTTTATCTTCAAATTGTTTATTCTCTCATACACCATTGTCTACTTTGTGATACTCCTTTTCTGTTCTATCCACCTGTTGTCTGTGTACTGCTGTGAAGTGTGGCAACTTGAGGTGATGTACTTGTATGCAAGGTTCTACATTACTTTTATCTCTCCATTTGTGATAATTGAAGATAAAATAAAGACCTAAGTGGTACAGGATTCTAACCGTATGGCCTGTAAAATACTGGCTTGATACTGAACCAACTGATGTATGAGACAGACTCTAATCTGGTCTAAAGTTCACTTCAGTCATAGGGGGTTTTGAGAAGTTATTATGTGATTATATGACCGTTTATCATCACACCTTCAAGAGGAGATATAAGCAGGAAACTGGTGTGATGCCGATAAATGAACAGTTACATGTCATCTGAGTGGAATCCTCAGTGTGTGAAATTGAGTTAACATCTGTTAGTTGGATAGAAGAAATCGGTTAGAGACTATTCTCTACCTAAGTTTCGTTCTTCTTGTTGCTCATCAATGAAGTGTATCTGCAATCTCAGCAGAACTGATATCCTGTTCAAGATTTAGTCAGTACTTGAGACACGTAGTCCTGTTTGTTCAACGTCACTATCATCAATCTATATGAAGACTGATTTTTTTGAGTAAAAGATTTTCCTTCAAAAATTTATTAAACCTATTGTCAAATGAATCATTCAATGAAGATTAAGATGTAACTGAAAGTTCAGTGGACTAGAAAACTTTCCTGATAACTATGAAATGATTATTTCTGAAAAAGTTCAACTGAAAACCAACTAAAATTTCAAATAGTACTAAATAAATGTACAAGTAGATTTCTTTTCTAATATAATTTATCTTTAAAAATAAAAGCAGAATGTTTGAAAGCAGTTTCTCTTATTAGTTGGTTGGAGGTAATCGTCAGGAAGGCCTGGACCTGGGTTTCATTCTTTTTGACACTTGTCAACAAGACGTATCTGCAACCACGACAGAACTGATGTCCCACCTGAGATTCAAACCCGCGTAACCTAGTGTTGTAGTCAGCGACTTACCTCCTGTAGGTCTGTCTTACATGTATTGATTGGTCACAGGAGTGCAACCAATTTCATGTTGTCTAGTCCTGAGTACATATCTACTAATGTGCACCGTGATGCTGAGCTTCCTAGCTTGGTTGACATATTGCAAATATGATTGATAGAATTCAATCTGCACTCAGGACTAGACAATATGAAATTGGTTGCACTCCCGTGACCAGTCAATACATGTAAGCCAGTCCTACAGGAGGTCAGTCGCGGCCCGAATAACTCAATGATAGAGTCACTGACTACAACACTGGGTGACGCGGGTTCGAATCTCAGGTGGGACATCAGTTTCATCGTGGTTGCAGATATGCCTTGCTGACAAGTGCCAAAAAGCATGAAACCTAGGTTCAGGGCTTCCTGCCAATTACTTCCAACCAATTAACAGCTACTAATATGCACCACGATGCTGAGCTTCCTAATTTGGTTGCCATAATGCAAATATGATCGATAGGATTCGGTCTACCCTCAGGACTAGACTACATGAAATTGATTGCACTCTAGTGACCAATCAATGCAGTTTCTCTTACATGATTTCTCTTATTTTTCATTTCACTTCATATTCAATTGACAGTTGAATTCTTTCAATATTGATTTCTTAAGGTTAAACTAGAAATAATTTATTAAAACAACAATAACAATTATAATAAAGTGAACTATTCAAGTTCACTTACCTTCATATCACATCTGACAACCTATGATGAACTGTCATGTTATGATAGGTCAACATAAGTGTTTAAGTGATTGACAGTTAGGAATACAATGATATGCATTCATAGATAGTATAAACTGAAGAAAGAACATCCAGTTACATGACAGGATAATGTCACTTCAGGTTGATATTCATCATGGACTGATATTATTTGAAGATCAGATATCCTGAAGTTCTATTGTGAAGTCATGACATATGAAGTCAACCAAATCGGACGTAAGGATAGTTACTTAACGTCGGTATTGGTTAGAGATTGAGCTATATCATGAACTGACAGAAGTATGAAGTGTAGGCCACTGGATTTACACTCAGTGACCCAATGGTAACGTGCTAGCTGAAGAGCTTGAAGGTTTTGAGTTCGACCTCTGGCGGTAGGGGTCATGAAATCTGACTGCTGGTGACCCCATATTAGGTATAAACGGTTCTACAGTGCTCCAAGGTTTCCAGTGGTTCTCCATCTTACGTCACTTCATGATAAATATCAACCAGAAGTCTATAAAAAGATTCCCCACTAACCTCCAAATTGGATTTCACTTTATTCCATAAGTAAAATAGATACTATTCAAGGTTTAAGGAGAAAAAATTTCCAAAATTAGTCTTTATAACTTTTATTGCAAAGTTAAGAATTTTTGCAGCAAGAAATTAGATAGAGCACAACAATTGGTCAGTGGAGACTAAAAAATATGTTTTTGTCTTTTACAAAGCCCTTAGCGAGGAGACTCACCACTCTTACTGATTTTAGGAAGTTAGAGGTAATCGACTGGAAAACTGCTTTCGTAGAGGTTATATTTGTTAGTACTCGTAAGGAAAGCACATCTTCAGCCTTTGAGAAATTCACAGTTCTTCATAGATTCAGATCTATGTAGCTCTGTGTGGTCGCTACTAGAGACTAAGCAGGATGACACAAAGTGCTCTTCAGCAATCAATTGATTTTTTTACATTCATTCCTGTAGGCAGTTAATCACAGCCTGATTAGCTCAGTAGTGATTTCTCTAACCCTAGCACTAACTGATTTGGGTTCGAAATACTTACAGAAAATCAGTTCCTTCTAGGTTATGTGGGCTAACAAGCAAGAAACCCATGTGAAGTGAGCTTACTATTATTATTTGTCCCTTGGGTTCCCTGTGGAACATACGGCTTCAGTGGCACACCTCCAGTGCAGTCTGTTCTCTGCAATCTTTTGAACCTAGCTTCATGACTGCCCAGCAGCTCTCATTTCCTCCTCACATGATCTCCTCCATATCACCCTCACCTCGGACGCCCAACTCGTCATTTCCCATCTGAGTTCCACTCGAGGGTTTAGCCTGGCACGTGATGTCCCCGAATGGTTTCCTCAGTGTATGCACAGCCCATCTCCACTTCCTTCTACATATTTGTTAAGCGATAGCTTCTTGCTTCGTTGGTTCGTTGCCAGGCCGCCAGAGTTCCTTGTTGATTATTCTTTCTGGCCATCTGGACTTCAGTATCGAGCCAGCATAGGCACTTGTTGATGAATATCTGTAGTTTGTCGGAAATACCTTTCGCAACGCGCCAAGTTTCTGAACCATATAGAAGCAATGCTAATATTACATAAGTGTAATGTTTTTTTTGTTATGAGTTGATATAAGTGGGTATCGGTTAAATCAAGTAGTAATGTTTAACAGTTTCATCTCACTACGGTATCAATCAAAACCGTCAACTCTATACTTCTTCTTGGACCAAACATCGATTCTTTAGATATAATAGGTAAATGAATAAACTGAACTGAAAGCCAACTGTCTACATCTTTTATTCAGTTATTTTTGGTGTATAGCCTTTAAGTGTTATTGAAAGCTGCATAATGTTGTTATGCAATTAAAGGTCTACTCAAACCTTGAAAATGTTTTGTTAAAATCCAATCACTCATAGGTTGATTGGTGGTTACAAATAAATCTTCTTCAAACCATTTACAAACTGTTTACCAATTGTGGTTTCAAACATCGAAAAAAAAACAGTGATTTGTGTTTCTTTGTTGAGGCTACTTTTGAATACTTCTCCAAGACGTCAACTTCGAAATAAATTAGTGTCTTCATCAGTACGATTTTCAGATAAATAACTAATTTTAATCCCACTATCAGTTTCCTTGGCGTTTCCAGTATGGTGAGTTTACTCTAAATAAAAAACCAAATATGCCTTATGGAAGCTAGTAGTATCAAGTACCTTTTAGAGTCATTAACGTACTATGTGAAGAAGAAGGATCTGTACACTGCCACAGAAGTAAACCTAATAGTCCACTGAGTTTAATTTATGAAGCCTGATATCTGCTTGGAATTAAAGTTTTTGCCCCCCCCCCTCCCCCAAGTTCCCATAGGGTTTTGTAAGTTACGATCTCCTTTGGAATACAATTAACTTCTTTCTTAGACACAAAACCTTCCCGTCCTTCATAGGGAATTCAATGCTGACTTTGATTACTGCTGTCAACATTTTATCAACACAACTCTATCCACCGATAGTAATATTTGCCCTTGACTTTCTATGCGTCATCACAGGTTTCGAAACAGTATGATTTCGTCTTACTCTAAGAAATGATCGCATTTCATCTTGTTAAAAAGTGTAGAGGAGCTAAATATGCATTTCTGTTGTTGCTCTCACAATCCTCCAAAGCAAAATACTTGAAATGTTTCTGCGAAGTCTCGAAATTGGATAGAACAGCAGTGGATTCGTTTCTTGTCCATACTAAGGTTTTTATTTCGTGCTGGAAACTACCTTCATATTAAAATGTCCTCTAAAATACATCATATTGAATGATCACTTCAGAGCGTTATCCACTAGATCACCGATTGGTCCCAAGTTCGAATTCCGGTGGGAACAACATCGCTCATTGGAAGACAGCTACATCCAGCTGACAAGTCCCAAGTAGGATGAAATGCACATCCTGAATCCTTCCACTGCTAGCCACTATCCATTATTACTATACATAAAATTTTGTTATGCTGAAATACAAATAAAATAAACCTTTTTCTAACATTAACTTTTCAGTGAATGGTTCAAAGTTGTCGCTTACTTCAAATGGATCTTGTGTTTCAACAGTAAGTAACCTTTTTGCGGTGCATATTTGAATGTTGATTGAATGATTCCTATAGTTAACAGAAGATCTTATCTAAGACAGTTAAAACAACATTCAAGACTATAAATCCCCCCCCCAGAGGTTATGCAGTTAAAAGTTTACTTTTTCAACCGGATAGAATTACGTGTAGAATTTCACATTCATACTAAAATTGGTTATAAGAATTTATGCAAACCTTTAAAATGGTTTAATTCAGAGTTGGTCAACGATGTAGATATCATTATTGATGTTTTCTAGTCCTGAGTGCTGGCTGACTTCTGTCGATCATCCTGCAAAATGGTCACCAAGATAGGAACCTCATCATTATTGCAATACAATTTGGTGAGTGTTAGTTAGTTGAAGGCGATAGACAAAAAGCCCTGCTCCAGTTAGGTTTGATGACCACTGGCACTCATTAGCAAGGCGTATCTGCAATTTCGAGGTGAGTGATATTCCCCTTAGGATTCGAACCCACATAGTCCAGGGTTGTAGTCAGCGACGTTATTACTGGGCCATTACTGAGCTATTGACTGCAACGCTGGATGACGTGGGTTCGAATTTCATATGGAATATCTCTTCCCCCGAGGTAGCTGACGAGTGCCAACAAGCAGGAAACCTAGATAAAGGAGGGTTTCTCGCCGTTTGACCCCAACCAACTAATCCCGATGCTTTTCATAATTCACTCTCACCTCAGTCTAAATCAGCGAGAAATAAAATTGTACTAACTTATGTAGTTCAGAAGATAATAGTCTGATTAGAGTTTTGGGTGTTGTAAAAATGAAAAGATCATGATTTATGAGGAAACGGATGCCAGTTATGCGAAACTAAGGTAAATTTAAGGTTTAAAGTTCGAAAACAGGTAACGCTGAAGCGTTGGAGTACCAGTGGAGTAATAGTGTAGAACACGACAAAACTGAGACGCATATAGGAATGTTTATCATTGACATCTTGTACAGTGGTCATCAAATATTGTACACTTTACACTGAGACAGTCATTTGCACATTGTGATTCATTTCCTCTTCTGTATCTATCTTAATTCTCTCTTAATACGCCCACATTATCTCTTGCGTTTCTCTGGGCAAAATCTTTACCAATTGCTGTTATTGCCTATGATTTCTGCCGCCTTCTCAACATATACTACTTATATCGTGAGCTAACAGAAGTTGGAAATATGGAGCATTGGATTCTGACCCAGTGGCTCAATGGTAAGGCGCTGGCCGCAAAACCTGAAGGTCGCGGGTTCGATCCCTGGAGGTGTGGGGTCGTGAGTGCGCACTGCTGAGGAGTCCCATACTAGGATGGAACAGCTGTCCAATGCTCCTAGGTTTCCTTTGTTCCTCCAACTGATGTCAGTCTACGATGAATAACAACTTGAAATATACTACTTATATTCATTGGGATCAGTAACGCCTACTACAATAGGACAACTGAAAAGACTGCTGACTAATGAACAGTGACCTTCAAGTAGAAGATTAACAATTTTCACTTGTAGACAATCAACATGGAAATGTATGAACTCTACTCATAAATTTTCTCGATGAACATATATTTTTGTTTCAAATGCATTCATTGCTTCACAAACAGATTTGATTCAATTTTCAAAGAAATTAGATAGAACGCCTTACTCATTGGTCAAATTATGGTATTTTTGAAGATAAAAATGACTATTTAAAAACACTGTCACAGACGAATGTAATGATTAATATCCTAGTGTATGATAAGATAGCATAGATCCCTATAAGAAGTCAAAATCCCTGAAACCTTTCACAACCAACCATATTGTCTTGAAGTTCCAGAAGAAAGTATGTGAACTTACGTGTAGATATCCGATTGGTTGAGAAGGCAAAATCAATAAGATATTCTCGTATACAAAGGTAGATAAATGGTGAGGGTCATTGTAAGTATATATAAATGGCTGTATTTGGGACATCTTTTGACGTCAAGGATGAACTCTGAAGGTTATTATTTAGAAGTTCACTCTTATATAACCAGGTTATATCAACTTAAATTTAGAGTACTGTGAACTAACAGTAGTGCTTAAATTTGAACCTAACAATTGCAACATTTATACAGTAAAGATGTGCACTTTGAATTTAAAGACAAATTATACCTTCAAACCGAAAGAATGACCACAGAAAGACAGATTGGCTTAGTTTTTATCTAAGTATATTTATCAGAAGAAGAAAGTGGAGATGAATTGGGCATACACTGAGAAGGCCGATTGGGGACATCACGCGCCAAGCTAGGCCGTCAAGTGGAACTCAGATGGGAGGCGACGAGTTAGGCATCCGAGGTGAGGGTGACATGGAGGAGATCATGCGAGGAAGGAATGAGAGCTTATGGGCTGTCGTAGAACCAGGTTCAAAAGTTTGCAGAGGAGAGAATGCACTGGAGACGTGCTACTGAAGCTCCAACGAACCCAAAGGACAAATAATAATAATATTTATCAGAAACCAGGACAGAACATTGTTAGCACACGCGTATTGTATCAACAAGACAATGTTTCATAAATTTCTTCAGAATTTATTTTGTATGCAATGATATAAAAACCATGATACTGACTAATTAGAAATGCTTGAATAATGGTGTTATCCAATGAGAAAATGAGATGCCTTTTGATAACTTTCAGTATTCAGTATTTCATCTGCTTGAAATGAATTAAGTGAAGTACTAATGAACTTATCTTGAAATGATTAACATAACCATTCTGGGCTTCAATTACCTAGATATGGATAAAGTATACTACCAATAGATATTTTTAGACTATATAATTAATCAATACAGTCAGAAGTATCGATCGAGTAGTGAAATATACTACTTAAATAGTAGTAAAATGCTAGTTGTTTGGAGGCAATCTGCAGGAAGGCCTGGACTTAGGTTTCATGCTTTTTGGCACTTGTCAGCAAGGCATATCTGCAACCTGGACGGAAGTGATGTCCTGCCTGGGATTCGAACCCGCGTTACCGAGTGTTGTAGTCAGTGACTTTACCACTGAAATAGTGGAGAATATTTGTAGCTTAGGTGGATGGTATTGGTTGTATTGTGTTCTCTGACCTGGGTTGTTTAATCGTGAAGCTTTCATCGTCCTTCTAGATGACATCATCAGCACAACCAATCACAGATCGCTTCGTCAAGGCAAGCTACTAAATCACTCATGGAGAGATATTGACAGCTCATTTCATACTGAAGTTAGTGCTGATGATGAAAGCTTCTCGATTAAACAACCCAGCTCAGAGAACATAATACAACCAAGACTTTACCACTGAGCTATTCAGGCCGCGATTGACCTCCTGTAGGACTGGATTGCATGTATTGATTAGTCATTGAAGGTTGCAGATACGCCTTGCTGACGAGTACCAAAAAGCATGAAACCTAGGTCTAGGGCTTCCTGCCGATTGCCTCCAACCAAATAACATCTACTAATGCGCACCACGATGCTGAGCCTTCTAGCTTGGTAGCCATATTGCAAATATGATCGATAGGATTCGGTCTACACTCAGGACTAGACGATATGAAATTGCTTACACTCCCATGACCAATCAATGCACATAGTTCAATGCCTATTGAAGTCTTTCTCAATTGGTATGAGATGTGTATAGGAATGTGAAGTTCCGGGTTAGGATATATATGTCAACAGGTTTCATTGGCTATTGACTCTAGGTGATGATATTGCCTAAGAGTTAGCCTCAGTGGAGAGGATAAACTCATACATTCTCTTTATTCCAATCGTCATACCAAATTTAATTATGATTTCATTCTATTTTGTTGTAATTTCATGACTTCTGATTGCTTTCATTCTATATCTTATCTTCTAGCTTATTGTGTTGATATAGAGTGCAATAACTTGGATTTCTATGCAGTAGTATCAGATATCACATTAATACTGACCGACTAAGATATTTCATCTCATGTTGACTATGAAGGAGTTTTTATAACAAAATCTGAATATCTGAAGTTATTTTCAATTATTTACAATGAAACTAATCAGCGATACCTGCTTGAAGTAAATGGAATGAAATAAGATTCAGGAAACACAGGACTGATTGCTCTGAACTCAATCCCTTAAAATATCAGCAATATGAATCTACAACGTCATGAAGTATCGAACTCAGGTTGATCACTTTTTGCACCGAGCAAATTGTCATTCAACTTTTGAACAAGAATCTAATGGCCCATATTCTCCTACTCACATCCATTCATAATATAGTGTGGTTATCTTATCATCCATTGTAGTCAGTGGACAGTTGTATTCATGTGGTTTAGATACTTGACTTTCCGAATGATAAGTCGTAGGCTGGAACCCCATTCCATCTACCGAAGTCTAGTCGGCCAGGTAGTATCGTTAGCCCTCATACAATAGGCTTAGCTCACTGCCTACTGTATAAATGCACACGTCATCTCGGATGAGATTCTGAGTCGTCTTCATACCCAACTTCGTTGACCCTATAGCTCCTGATACCTCATTAGAAGTCCTCTGTCCCAAAGCAAATCGCTATTGAGCACTGTGAAGTAATTTGATTAGTGGTAGCGGTTATTAGTAAAGCCTTTAAAGCCATTTATGTTCTAAAAGGACTGTATATAGCTGCGTAGATTCAAATTTTAGTATTATATAATGAATACATTCGTTTAGATATACATGCCTGCATTTTTCATACAAAGAAGGTTGTTTAGTTAACGTATCTTAGACAAAGCATAGATATCAGATCGAAATTCATCACCGAATTACGTCAGTTGAAGAATCATTAGAAACTTGGGAGTTCTGGAGTTCTGATTCGTCTCTGTATGGGAATCCTCGACAGTGCACATCTATGACCTTGCTGGTGAACGGATCCGCGACCTTCAAACTGTTTTGCCAGCACGTTATCATTGAGCCACTGGGTCGGAATCCATTGGTTCGAATTTCATACTTCTGTCAGTTCATGATATACACGTCAGTCCCATACTAGGATGAAACAGTCATCCAGTGCTCCAACGTTTTCAGTGGTTATCCAACTGGTGTCAGTCCGTGATAAGTACTACCTTGAAATAAATAAAAAAAATCCCCTACAAACCTCTAAACTGAAAGCACAGGTAGGCTGAAAATATAATTCTACGGATTTTAGTGAGTATCCTATTTTTTTATTGGGTGGACTCAAGAAAAAAGGATTTCATGAGGCGAATAAATAATCAGCTTTAGAAAAAAAAAATCCATTCTGGAAATTTATGCAATAGTTCTATGTTACTGTAATTATATTTAAGTAGTTCCGTTGATAAGTAAAAGATTTCAACCGGAATAAGCTTTTTTTGAATTTATCTCACATTTGTTTGTCTAACTCATTAATTGTTTCTGTAGTAATCAAGTTTTGAATTAGCTAGTAAGGAGGTGATAATAGAGTTTTCGTCTGCTCAGGAAAAACAATATGAAATCAGGGGACACCCTGGATATTGTGGATAACTTGAGGATAGTTGTGATGGCAATTTGACATTACTTGGAACCAGTGAGCTCAGGCTGGCCGTTTTGCTCCCGTTCAAGATTCTTATTTATTCCGACTCTTTGTCTCATCAATAGTTAGATTCAGAGTCTTAAAGTCTTTTAGGCTGTATTTAGTTTATATAACTCAACCCAGTAAGTACTAGGCTGTCACCTACATTTGTTGAATTAAAGGCTTGTGGGGCTCCCATATTATCTAAGCTAAGTTGGGTGGAGATGTTTACTAGGGCACTAGACGTCTGTTTTATTGCGAATGAAGTTTGTGATTATTCTACCCTGGATACCTCTGAATTGAGTGAAGTTGTAGAGCTTTGGTTAAATATTCGAAGGTTTTTAATTCTAGAGACAGTATCGAGCTTGTTTACGGGATCCGCATAATTATTATTTTAGGAACTGATTAAAATTCACCCGGTATTTGTGAGATTTCCCATAAAATAAAGTTATTCTCATTTGATATTTGCGGCCTGAATAGCTGAGTGGTAAAGACACTGACTACAACACTGGGTAACTCGAATTCTGAATGTCAAGCGGGACATCAGTTTACATCGAGGTTGCAGATACACCTTGCTGATGAATGCCAATAAACACAAAACAAAGGTTCAAAGCTTCCAACCGATTGCTTCTAATCAATTAATATATGCAATACGTTCTCTAGTGGACTTCAATAATCCCAAACCGTTTTCATTCGTCTCATATATGAAGAACGTACCGTATACCATCCCTTTTCCTTATGTTAAATATTGTTTGTTGAAGGTAACCCAAATAAGAAAAATACAACTATTTTTGCGTTTTCCCAGTACCTTTTTTGAGTATGCAGACCATCAAATGATCTGTGCTTAGACTTGGTAAACCATCTTTTTCATGTCTAATTTCACCTGAAACAATGAAAACTTCTGGTCGGTTACGTTTATTCAGTTACCGTTTCATTTGTTTATTTGTTTGTACTATCATCCGCATGGTTTTCTTAATTTCTACTCTGTGTGATTTCCAAGTGTCTTTACTTGATGAACCACCACGTATTTTTGTAAGGTCGCACATAGAGTGACTTTAAAGGCTGCCCTAGCAATTGATGAAACAGCCAATTAAATCCCTTTATTTTATGGTAAAGTATATTTCCAGGTGAAATACCGAAGCCTGATCGGTTATTTCAGCGGTTACTAAGATGACCTTTAAAGTCACTCCCATCGTAGGTTCGCTTATCTTTCTTACAAACATGGAAGTTACATCATTCCTAGTGAGATAGTTGCTGGCACGATGTCACTTCAGATACAAAATGCCCGTTTGATATTTGCCAACTTTTGTTGACTAGATATTTAGATACCCTTCTACTGTAAGGCTCAAAATATTTTGCGATAAGCACAAAAAATAAAGACGCTACACATTTTTGACTAAAGGTGTCTCTATAAGATTGTTCACGTGTAGTGAAACTACAAAGTGGTTGGTGTTGAAAGTAGGTTTAGAGTATTGAGTAAGGAAGACAGGTTAGTCGATCAGGTTGTGAATTCTCATCGATTGAGGTCACTGTAATGTGTGTCCCAGTATCACATTTATAGCCTACTTAGATGAAAAATGTTATCTTGTAAGAAAGCCAAAGGCGATTAACCCAAGACATGACACCAATGCTTGAAGTTAATGTATGTTAGTGTGAGCCATTTGAGGTGTAAACTATCACGCTTGGATCCTCGAAATAGCGCGGTAAACATCCATGTCCATTAAAAGGAATCCAGAGAAAGATGAATAGAGTGCACACATACACACAAACAAAAACTAACGAAGATACACTGTATCTGATCAGTTCAAATACAACACTGCTGAACAAATGTAACACAGGTTACACAAACATTAAGCCACAGACTAAAGAACTACAAAAAAACGTGTGTTGTATTGATGATGTAAAAGTTTACCAGTTACTGCTTTTGTATATCTCAATGGTTTCAGTCAGCTGTGGAAAAAAACACATTTCCTTCAATATAACAGTCTGGATATCAGTGCCAATTTATTCAGGGCATAAACGATAAGAATCAGATAAACAAGTGGTAAAGTTGATTACTGTTACCAATGTGAATGACTCAAATCACTCAACTTATGGCCTAGAGGATAACACCTTGGTATTTGAAGTGATGGATATAAGGTTCGAGTTTCACTATGGGTAAAATTATTCAATGCAGTGCAGGTACATTTATCTGACGAGTCCCAAATAGAACAAAATGCATATCCTAGATTCTACTGCTAGTCACTAAGCAGATTATGATTCATTTAAAGGTTTTCTTTTATTATCTAACTGATGTATGTATGTAATTAGTACTGTGGTTTTTATGTCTTTTGATTTAGGTAGAAGAAAAGCAAGCTGAAGAAGTAAGTTATTCATTAGATGACTTCTTTTTTTTAATTGACAAGGCTGTTAATTGGTTTCAACTGTTATTGCAAAGAGGGGAATACAACTTTGAATACTTTCTTATATAAACACACTTGAAAATACTTCCCTTTACATAATGATTTTATCAACTAGATACTTGATAACTTGAAATCAATGAACAATTATTTCATCATATTCTAGGGTTCATTGGTACTAAAAAGGGACTCTTGAAAAAGATCTTCCTAGTAAGATCGAAATGTTGAAGAATAAAATGAACAACATATTTGTTTATTTTGTTATTTGTTCAAATATATTACACCGGGATTACATAAGTAAAAATACATCCTATACAATAGTTCATTTATACTGTTATATACTTTCCTTGTTTCAAGATTGAATAACACTTTGTCAGTTAACAATAGCAAAATGAATTATTTTAATTTATGAGTTTAATAAAAAGTTTAAAGTAAAGATATGCTAATAAATGAAATTCAATGACCAAGAAAAGTTACTAGTTGTTGAAATCATCAACATATGGACAGTATTCAAAATTTCGATTATGATGTATTTCAACAAAGGTTTCTAATAAGTATTGAACAATAGAATGAAATATTTGTATACTTTTCTTCTAATTCTATGGATTTCTTTAACTAATTTCAATTTTTGAGTGAAAACACCTACAAATTGGTAATTTAAGCTATTCACTATGATCTTCTAGTGATTTAGTGAGAAACATATACAAAATTAATGCAGAACGTATGATCTCCAGGACCCCTACTAGGTAATCTATATCTCCCCACATAGCTTAGATACAGAATCTCTCCTAAAGATATAGAGATAGCATGTATGTACAGGTATCTTTTGGTGACAGTCTTAAACTATTGACTGCAACATATTGTGGCGCTTCGTGATGCTGAGTTGCCTAGCTTAATAATCACCATTTGGCAGATGTGAATGCTTAGATATTTGTCTGTAGGGATGAATGTAAATACACCAATAATCAGCAGCTGATAGCTAGGTCAGTATATGTACTCAATCAAGCAGTGAAAAAATTGTTACTGCTTACATAATCTAATAGTGCTATTTTTCATTATTTTATTACTTATTATTTTTCCCTTGGGTTCCTTATGGAACATAGGGCTTCAGTAGCACGTCTCCATTGCACTCCCTTCTCTACAGTCTCTTCAACCTCACTCCACAAATCCCCACAAGCTTTCATTTCTCCCTCATATGATCTCCTCCATGTCACCCTTGCCTCGGACGCCCAACTCATAGTTTCCCCTTTGGATTCCACGTGAAGTCCTAGCTTGACACGTGATGTCCCTAATCCGTCCTCTCAGTGTATGCCCAATCCACCTCCACTTTCTTCACCTGCATATTTGTTGGGTGATAGGTTCTTGGTTGGTTGGTTCGTTGCCAGCCAGCCAGCCAGCCAGCCAGCCAGCCAGCCAGCCAGCCAGCCAGCCAGCCAGCCAGCCAGCCAGCCAGCCAGTCAGCCAGAGTTCCTTGTTGCTTATTCTTATCATTCTATTCTGGTCATTTGATCTTCAGTGTCAGTATTGAGCCAGTGTAGGCAGTTGTTGATGAATGTCTGTAGTTTATTGGAAATGCTTTTTGTGACGCGCTAAGTTTTTGAACAATATAGCAGCAGTGACTTGACATTCGTGTTGAAAATCCAGATCTTGTTCATGCTTTGTGCTGAGTGTAGAAGATCTCCACACTGCTTTCAGGTTAATGAAGGTCTGTCTTGCTGCCTTTCTGATCCTGGCTGCTGTGATGTCCTTGTCTGTGCCTGTGTCGCCTGTAGTTTAAACAGTGCTTCCTAGATAGGTTAAGGAGGCTACTTCCTTTAAGTTTTTCCCACTGATGGTCACTGGTGCTTGTTGTTGATGCTGTTATTAGTTGGGTATCTTCATTATCTCCGTCTTCTTTACATTCACTTGAAGTCCCGTTTTCGCTGCCTCTTCTGTCAACTTGTGAGTTTTCGCTTTTAGATCTTCGAGTTTGTGAGACATTAAATATAAATCATCGGCGAAATTTAAATCTTCTACGCTGTTTTCATCGGTCAAGCTAGCGTATGCCCATCTTCTTGCTCCTGACAGTTTCTTGCATGATCCTGTCCAGTCCAGTCGACCACAATCAGGAAGATCATGGATGACAATAGGCAACCTTATCTTACCCCTGTCTTCATTTCAAAGGCGTCACGGAGCTTTCCATTGTGATTCACTTGGCATGTGGTGTCTTCATATAGTTGTTGTATGAGGTTGATAAAGATTTGTGGTACTCAGTAGTGTTGAAGCAGTTTTCAAATTACTTCTCGGTCGACGCTGTTGAAGGCCTTTTCAAAGTTGAGGTAGAGTTGAGTTGACTGCCATTCTCTACTCTGTTTTATAATGATGTGTGGTTTAGCGTTGCAATTTGATCCGCATATGATTTGTTCTTGCTGAAGCCAGCTAGCCAGCCTGTTCCAGTCGTAGTTTTGAATGCAGCGCATGTTTTAGTCTCTCTAAGATGATGTGGCATAATATTTTCCTTTGAGTGGACACCAACATGATTCCGCATCAGTTCTTGCATAGATCTTGACAAGGTAGCCTTTCTTCCAATCAATCTGCAGGTACCTTTTTTGCTTCCAAACCTTCTGCAATAGTGGTGATGTGTGAGCATGTCCACTGTTGTCTCCACGTCTGTTTTCAGTGCTTCTGGCGGAAGTCCATCTGGTCCTTCTGCTTTGCCGGATTTCAGCAGTTTTATGTCCAACAAATCTGGCTTTAATCTCACATAGAACACAGGTCTACTTTGGCTCACCTACACACGTGTTTATGTCAAAGTACTCAGTAAGAATGGAATTCATTTGAATTGATAATTAAAGACTCGTTTTAGCTGCTAGACAATAAACTTTAATCTTCTACAAGGCTGAAAATGATTCCATGAAATAATCACCAACGCGTAACATATTTCTAGTCCTTGGTGCTCAGCACTCCTCAGACTGTCAATGAAGTTTTTCAGTGCGGCTAATAGGCAAACTGAATCAGCATTAAAGTCCATTGTGTTTTGGTGCTGTGTTTATAAACAAATGGTAGGAAGACCTGGTGTCAAGCTTCATATTTGTTGGCACCCATCCTTAAGGCATATCTGTAACTGTGAAGAAAAAGAAAAATGAGCAATAAACAACACTGGTTAGCAACTGGTAACCAGTTTGTTTACATAATCCAACCCAACAGGGGGTTGGTTGCAGGAAGAATAATTCAATTATTTAGTTTCCGACTCTGTAACTGAGTGGAACAGTTTCAAATCATCTTCACGACGCCAGTTTCGTCATGATCACAGATACGTCTAGGCTTTCTGCTGATTTGTTGTCAACATCTACTAGGAGAATACGCCTACGACTACTATATCCTGTGCGCATAGTTCATGTAAATCTCCTATTGTAATTTATTTCCCTTTGTAGATACAGAAACTGAAACGTCAACTTGAACAGGCTGAGAAGAAGGTCAGTGAATTAACAACCCAGTTAACAACCAATGTAAGTTAAGGAAATTTTAATTTTTTAAAAACTTTTTCAACTAAACTAATTGACAAATAACTCAGAATACACGCAGTCATCAGTAATGATGTTTGCTACACATCTTAGTGACTATCCATCAACCAATCGTGTCGTCGAGTGGATTTCGACTAAAAATCCTAAGATGCAATGCCACTGCTTGTATTCCCTTTGTCTCAGTAAACAACTAGATCATTTGAACATCAGTCACACATTCAGGCCATCTCCTCAAACAAACAGATAAACACACAGACAAAACCAATGTATAGCCTCTCATACAAGTGTTTCGGCTGAAGTTGCCACACTTCATAGTAACATGGAAAGAAAAAGTGGACAGAAAGAGACTATTATCAGAGTAGACGAAGTTGTGTGAGAGAATAAACAACTTGAAGACAAAGGTTAGTGCGAATATTCAACTTTTAGAAGACTTCAAAGAGTTAGTACATCTGCGCCATTGTGACCAATTTTCAGTTATGTCGCCAAGAGTCCTCAATTACTGATTTCGATCATCTCAGGGGCCCCAGACAGGTAGTCTACAACTCCCTGCACGACTTAGATCAATAATCAGAGACTTTGTCGACTAGTGCCACATCTTTATTTGGCCATCCTGAATCCTCTTTCAACCTAATCCAACTTCTCCTAGTATGGCATGTCGTGCTAGACAGTGGTTTGGCATACGTAGCACATGGGATTAGCGTTTCTTTCATTTAAACCAGGAGTTAAATAGCAGTCTACTTAGATAAAATGAAACAGTTATCAATGTATTCTAGAGTTGAATTATGGATCATACATACTCTATGCAAACATATTATCCAGTCGTAAAAGATACAAATCATCACCAATATGACACATTGGTAACATCGCTTACAGAAGAACTAGGAGAGATGGATTGAGATATCTGAAGATGTATCAGCACCTCGAGGTTGTAGGTACACGTTGCTAACAAGTACGAAGAAGGACGAAATCTTAGTCTAAAATTTTCCCCAGATAGCTTCTTCCCACCTAGAATACATTAAAAATGGATTACGATTTCACTAAGTTACATATTAATACGACATGTAAGTCAGACAAAGAGGAATCAATCACTTGAGGGAAATAACGTTGTAAACTGTATAATTCCCTCAGTAACCTTAAGTAATCGTTAATAATAAACAATAAACAAATGGTGTAATTCAACTTAGAACAGGTGTTTGTGCACAAGTCTACTCATTACATTTATTGCGTAGTGGCCGTTGCTCAGGCTGATTTATTATCATCACACCATATTTCGTTATGATTTTACCCTCTCTTCTGCTCTTGCTATGACTTTTGACGGCTTCAGATTACTTCAAGGCAGTATTCATCACAGAACCGTCGAAAACATGAAAGCACTAGACAGCTGTTTCATCCTTGTACGGGACACCTCAGCAGCGTGCACTCATAATCTTACCCCATCAGAGACCGAACTCAGGACGTTCAGGTTTCAAAGGGGACGCGTTAAACACTCAACTACTGAGTTGGAGTTCAATCTTTCATCATTTCCCACTCCTGGCAATCTATGATGTAGCGTGACTAGACACCGAATTCATCAGTTGATACCTGAGTCACTCCCAACTGGTTCTGTAGCTGATGTCAATCTGTAATGAATACTACCTTAAAACAAGCAAAATCTCCATACGTCGAGATGTATATCCTGAAGTTCTAATGAGATGCCATAACCTCTGGATACAATGAGTCGGAAGTGAAGCGGATGGTATCTGAAGACCTTGATGGATAGTCACGCTATATCGCGAATTGACAGAAGTAAGGAACTGTGAGGGATTGAACTCTGACCCAGTAGCTTAATAGTTAACTTGTTCACCTAGAGATCTGAAGGTCCTCAGTCTTATGCGTTCCGAGGCTAGTCAGGGGTAGGTACTGTTCAGGAATCCAATGTGAGTACGATCAAGCGATAGTAATGTATCGCGAATTCACATGACAGTCAGGCATTGAAGCGAAATAAAAATGTGGTCATCAGCCTGGTTCTCCTAGCTCCCTTGAGCACCAGGCCGGAAACGTGATGGTCATTAATTCAAATCCTTCTGCTACCTAGATTATCATTTCACCTTCAATCATCACCCAATATTAATAATACAAGTCTACCAAACCATAGGTTTCTCAGATAATCAAAATGATGTTGTTACTATTAACACAATAACATTGAAATTCCTTTCACAGTACTTTTTAATCTGAAAAAAAAAGAAAGATGATCAACTGACATTTACACAACTTTTTACATTCCATCACTGCACAGTATGGTGTAAATCTTAGGAATCTCTGTCCCACACCCATGTATACCGTACATAATATATGTATGTGAATGGTGGATAGAAGATTCATTTTATTAGTTTTCCATGACATTTACATAATCATCATCACCGTGCTACTACTGCTGTTATTACTAATAACCACAACCATCTACAACACCACTATTAATACTGTGTGAAGGCGCATATATATATATATATATATATATATATATATATATATATATGCGTGCGTGCATAACATAGAGAGGGATGGAGACTGTAAGGAATCCTGAAACACGATTTTAATTTACTCCTAGAAATCTTTTAGACGACAATTTCAAACTATAATTTTATAAAACAAACAAACAACAACAGCGTTTGCTGTGTCTTACACGAATAAACTATATTTTCATCATAATCGATTAAAATACAGATATTGAGACTGTAATTAAAACGTTCAGTGATTGTCACCCATTGATCAACTTCACATCAGAATTTGAAGAGAACTCGGAATTTCATTTTCTCGATGTTTTATTGAAATGGAGACCAGATGGTTCTCTTCAGTGATCAATTTATAGGAAGCCTACTTGGAACGGACAATATTTGAATTTCCACAGATGGATGCCTCTCAGCAGAAAGAGGAATCTAATCTGTTCTTTATCTTCAAGAATCAAAAGAATCTGCACGAGTGATACTATCGACGAAGAACTAGATAAACTAAGGAAGATCCTCATGCGAAATGGATATCCACCCAGATTTATCGATAATAACTTGAAAGTAAATCAGAATACGGAGCGAGTATTCATAGTTACTAAGAAGACCTTGTTTATGCACGTTGTTCTCAAAGGCGATACGGCAGCAGAGATCCTGAAGAATCGGCTGTCCGGATCACTGAAGAAGACATCCTTCTCTGCAAAACTGCAGATCAGCTTCTCTAGTCAACAACCCATTCTGGAGTGTGTTAAGGACAAGTTGCCACTTTGGGTCACCTCGATGTGTGTCTACAAATTTACTTGCTCCTGTGGAGCTAGTTATATAGGCCGCACAAAGCGCACGCTTTCCAGACGTATCTCTGAGCACTATCCTGCATGGTTGTCGAGGGGAGAATGTTAATCAATTAACAGTCCAATTGTTGAACATTTGGTCAACTCTGGACATAAAGCTAGACTAGAATCTTCCTTCAATGTCATTTATCGTGTCAGATGGAATTGTTCAAAAGGAGTACGCCTTTGGCAGTTGTGCACAGTGGAGGCACTGGCAATTCATCAATTCAAGCCTGATCTCTGCATGCAAAAGAAGTATGTTCAATCTCTCATCTTACTATGGTCTTAACACTTTCATTTTTTTTCGATTTCATTATAATTAATTAGTTTATTATTATCCACCGTCATTATGACCCTTGTCTCATTCTTCACCTTCTTTACATCCATCTATCTATCAAGTGAACACTCAATATTTGCGTTTCTTATCTACCAACAATTTTCATCTTGTCAAACTCCCTGCCTTCCTCCATATTTCTACTGTCTTTATTACACAACTACATTGCATTCTTGATTCCGGTTTCTTTTAGCACTAGGTTAATGATGTAATTATACCCTATTGTTTTATAATAGACTGTTATATATTTATGATATATATAAATACGATTGTACAGCTTTAGAAAATGATATCGTCAAAAAAGAAAATTTTCTTCACTGAATTATCTCTTCTATATTTTATTTTTATTGAAAAATGAACTAAATTTGATTACTGGATGGGAAAATAAAAATAAATCCTTTATCCCTAGAAAGAAAGAATGCATGTATTGGAGCTGAACACCTTTTTAAACAGGGTTGCAATGCTGTTTGAATGGAGGTAATCGGGCAGGAAACCCTGAAACTAAGTTTCATGCTTGTTGGCACTTAACAAGAAGGCATATCTCTGACCTTGAGGGAAGTGAAGATTTCATTAAGATTCGAACTGGCGTCAAACAGTGCTACAGTCCGAGACGTTACTACTGAGTTATCCAGGTCACAACTGAACTCCCGTAGGATTGAATAAGGTGTATTAACTGATCGCTAGAGTGTAACTGAGTCCATCTTGTCCATTCCTGAGTGCTGATTGAATTATATCGATCGTTTTATTGTTTAGCCACTTAGCCATTTAGCTTTTTAATCCAAGAAGACGTCAAGGTGTGAATATATATGCGCCACTACAACCGTTTTTCAGCTTTGTCGTTTTGGGGTCTCCGGCCCTGTAATCTGCATCTTCCTACACGGGTCAGACCAACAGTCAGTCATGCACAGGTGCCACGTGTTGGTCTGGACACCCTGAACTATCTTCCAACCTGTTCTAATTTCCCTTAGCATTGCATGACAAGGTTGCTGGTGGCTTAACATACCCAAATCATGCCTAAGCCACTTCAGTCAATAAAGATTTACACCTATTGATTGACTTCCTTGTCTTACCTAACCCCTAACCTCAACATTGTTCAAACGTCAGCAATGCTAAGAAGACACCTGTGATCAAAAAATTGTAACATTTCGAGCTGGGACGATTAGCATTTATACTTGTCATCTGAATAAAGTCTACTCACATGGGGTATAGATTTTTACTGTCATCACTATAAGGTTTTGTCAGTGACATAATAAGTACCTAACTTATAGTGAAGTTTAATCGTCTATAAAGATTTCCGAGTTATCATTTTCGATTTACCTAATGAATATGATGGTCGCTTCCAAAATTTATTATTATTACTATTTGTCCTTTGAGTTCTTAGTGGAACATAGGGCTTCAGTAGAACGCCTCCATTGCACTCTCTTCTCTACAGTCTTTTCAACCTCACTCCACAAACCCCACAAGCTTTCATTTCTCCCTCACATGATATCCTCCATGTCACCCTTGCCTCGGACGCCCAACTCGTCGTTTCCCCTTTGGATTCCACTCGATGGCCTGGCCTGGTATGTGATGTCCCAATCCGTTCTCTCAGTGTATGTCCAATCCACCTCCACTTTCTTCACCTGCATATTTGCTGGGTGATGGGTTGTTGGTTGGTTGGTTCGTTGCCAGCCAGCCAGAGTTCCTTGTTGCTTATTCTTATTATTCTATTCTGGTCATCTGATCTTCAGTGTCAGTATTGAGCCAGTGTAGGCAGTTATGGATGAATGTCTGTAGTTTGTTGGAAATGCTTTTCGCAATGCACCAACTCTCTTAACCATCACATAGAAGCAATAACTTGACCTAAATTAGTGTTGAAAAGCTGGATGTTGTTCACGCTTTATACTGAGTGCAGTGTAGTACAATGCAGTAGATCTCCACACTGATTTCAGATTAAGAAGGCCTGTCTTGTTGTCCTTGTTATCCTGGTTGGCATTGACGTCCTCATCTGTGCCGCCGCCTGTAGTTGAGAAGATGATTCCCAGGTAGGTAGATGAAAGAGACAACTTCCTTCAGATTTCTCCTGTTGACGGTGATTGGTTCTTGTTTTTGTTGTTGTTGGTTGGGCATCTCCATCACCTCTCTCTCCTCTACGTTCACCTGAAGTCCCGTCTTCTCTGCCTCACTGCTTCTGTCAACTTGTTAGTTTTTACCTGTAGATCTTCGAGTTTGTGCGACATGAGTGAGACATTAGACATAGATCATCACTGGCGAAATCCAAATCTTCTTCTAGGTCTTCCCAAAGGTGTAGCCAGTGTATGCTCATCTTCTTGCTCTTCACAGTTTCTTGTATGATCCTGTCCAGTCCAGTCCATCGAAGTCAGCAAGATCATCGATGATGATAGTAGGCAACCTTGTCTTACTCCTATCTTCACTCTAAACACATCACTGAGCTTTCCTTTGTGAACCACTTGGAGTGTAGCATGTAGCATCATATAGTACATAGTTGTTGAATGAGGTTGATAAATGCTTGTGGCACTAAAACCGTAGTGTTAAAGAAGTTGTCAAATTACTTCTCGATCGACGCCGTTGAGGGCCTTTTAAAAGTTGATGAAGTTGAGGTAGAGTTGAGTTGACTGTCATTCTCTACTCTGTTCTATGATGATGCGTGGTTTAGCGTTGCAATTTTTATCCGCATATGATTTGTTCTTCGTGAAGCCAGCCAGCCAGCTAGCCAGCCTATTCCGGTGGTAATTTTGAATGCAGCGCATGTTTTAGTCTCTCTAGGATGATGTGGCTAATATTTTGCTTAGGGGTTGACAGGAGCATGATTCCGCGCCAGTTCTTGCAAAGACTTAGGTCCCCCTTGTTTGGGAGTTTGACAATGTAGCCCTTCTTTCAATCAACCTGCAGATACCTTTCCTTCCTTTCTTCCTTCCAAATCTTCTGCAATAGTGGTGTGAGCATATCCGCTGTTATCTCCGCATCTGTTCGGTTCCAAACACTATCCCTTATGTAGGGACCTATTAATTATCTTGGTTGTGTTGCGCTCTCATAGCTGAGTGGTTTAATCATGAAGCTATCATCTTCTTTCTGGAAACCATCATCAGCAATGGATAACAGTCTATTTGGTGGTTAGCATTGTAATTCGAGACTCACGTCTCTTCCTATTTAGGAGTCGTTAGCTGGGTGTACCTGCACCCCACTCAGTGATATTGTTCCCACTAAGACTCGAACCCAGTGGCCATCCTTTCAAACGCCAGATTGTTATCCACTAGGCATTGGGAATGTAAGCCACCCTCTGTAAAACGGGCATCAGTTGTTCTTTAATACTTGGAATTCCCCATCGCCATACTGGGTCATATCACTCGACAACTGTTGGCAGTATAGCAACGGCGAATTACGAATATTATCAGTAAACAATTATTAACACCAACTTCAGTATGAATTCTATATATTCATTGTACTGAAGTTAGTGTTAATGATAATGTTGTCTAGGAAGATAATCAAAGCTTCACGATAAAACCACCCAGCTCAGAGAATGCAAAACAGCTAAGATCATCCATCTGAGCTACAAATATTCCCCTACTGTTTCGAAAATTTTAATTTTATCCAAAGATCATATTTTGATAAATAGCAGTAATTACTGCCTCACCCCTTCTAAGATTTATCAAACAGATAAATATGTCAGCCTTCACGAATGTCTCTTCGATCACCAACAACGCCAAAAATAAATGATGGGTATCCAACCAATGAGTCGTAAATAATGTGAAACCTCTATTAGATAAAATTGTATAATTTACTACTAATGAAATCCCTGAATTCAAGACTGAATGATATAGGTTCGAATCACTCAAGAAGTATCTGGTTCCTCATATCCACTTGTCTTACTAACGGTTATTAGTGTATAGGAAACCATTATGAAATAAGGTTTCCATCTGATTGACGTTTTTGAATTAATACACAATGGCCAGCGTGTGGAGTTAAAGTGCGCATTTCAACCTATTTCAGACTCATCAGTTGTAAACAACTTACCTAACCAGTCGAACTCGAACCTACAGCCTATCAATCACAAATACCAGGCTAATGAGTCATGGTAGTTACTCATTACTATCCAAGTGAAATAACTGATTGTATTAACACCTTCGTGTAGAACCCAACGATGACTGATCAATTAAATTTTGAGGGGGTTGTGGAGATTTGGAAATATTTCAAGTTGTTATTCATCGAAGACTGACATCAGTTGGAGGAACAAAGGAAACCTGGGAGCACTGGACAACTGTTTCGTCCTAGTATGGGACTCCTCAGCAGTGCGCACCCACGACCCCACCAGCAGGGATGGAACCCGCGACCTTCAGGTTCCGCGACCAGCGCCTTACCATTGAGCCACTGGGTCAGAATCCAATGCTTCATATTTCCAACTTCTGTTAGCTCACGATATATGCTCAAACGCCACCCAATGTCATCGTTGAGTATTTGTCCTCATGGCCATCAGGCTTTGACTCCACCGGTCACGACTTGTCATTTGAACTGCTGGTGGGGTCGTGGATGCACACTGCTGAGGAGTCCCATACTAGGACGAAACAGCTGTCCAGTGCTCCCAGGTTTCCTTTGTTCCTCCAACTGATGTCAGTCTTCGATGAATAACAACTTGAGATGACTGATCAGTTTGATCCGTTCAACTCCAAGCAATTACATATTATCTCATTAAAGCTTATTTCTATACCGCATATATGTAAACAAATATTTAGTTTTCACAATTTAGATTTTTTTTCAACAACAAAAAAAATATGTTACATGAACAAATTTAATCAATAACTCACATTCCTGTGTATTATTATTATTGCATAAGGCAACATGGGCACAAAAATAACACTATTACTATTGAAGGTGGAAATGGCTAGCATAAAGTCACTTATCGTACTATTTCATGCAAGCAGCAAGTAAGCGTGCATACACACATACACATGTATATGAATGCATACATTCGAGGAGATAGTTGTTTGTTACATTTCCAAATCCTCTCCTCAGTCTATTCTTCTCTTTTGACGTTCTTTTACAAACAACACCTATCTTGTAATTCTAAAAAAATCAATATGGCGTTGGTGAATTTTCGAGAATGTACAAGATTTCTTTTTATATTTATTCAAGTTTCCCCCTTCTACATGTGTGTGTGTGTGTGCGCGCGCGCATGCACTTGCACGTGTACCCCATGGAATATCTGTACACCAAGATATGTCTGTGCATGGTAGGCACGTTAGAGACGATATTGGTCAGTGTTTATTTTGTAGTAGAAGTAAATCAAGTGGAATTTTCTATAATCAGTTTGATTACTTTTGTCTGTTTGTGTTTAAGCGGTGAACAGTTTCTATTCCCTGAATCATCTTGGTTTTTAAATAGAGTAAAACTGTACAAAGTGGTCATGGTTATACTGGGAGAGATTACACCAATTACTTTAATCTTACACACATGTATAGATGAAAGTAAATATCGGTACATACTGGTGTTTGTGTGCACTTGCTTGTGTGTATATCTTGTATCTCTCCTATACGCCAAAAATATATCACAGTTTCTTCATTATTTTTCTACAATGTATCATGTATCTTCGTATTACTTTCATCAAATGAATGTTTGAGATATTCAATTTTGTTGAAAATATATCACCGTACTTGGAATAATTGATTTCAGAAGATGTATGAATATCTCTAGCAGGCGAATGGATGCGCTTTACCCAAATTTTTACTCACTAACTTCAGTATCTGCTGAACCATTAGATCCTCGTGTACGCCGTCGTTCACTTGTATGGGGTGTTAATGCTACTCCCATTTCTACTCAAACACCAATAAATACTACTACTACTACTACTAACATTAACGATGGAAATGATGAAAACACAAAGGCTAGGAAAAAACTGGATGATAATATTACTATCATACCATCATATATAATGAATTACTCTCAGCATACTCCAGCAAAATCGAAAGGATTGATGATTCGTCGACGTAGTGCCAGCCATAATCCAAATAATCGTAACCAATTATTACATTCGACAAACTCTGCCAACATTTATAATAATAATAATCAGCAGTCGACCACAAATACAAATTTTATTGATATCTCAGCAAGTAATATGATACCAGCGAATTGTAATAACAATGTTAACAATTCACCATGCTCATCGAATTCAACAACACCACCACAACCTCCTCCACCTCCTCCATTTGCTGATAAAGATGGAAAAAAAATGAAGACACGAGACAAAGATGAAGGGGATATCATGGACTATATTAGTCTACAAGCCTCAAGGTCACTGTTGCCTATATCGTCATTATCACAAACGCCAGTATTGCCCACGACCAGCATAAGAATGTGTCTAACAGGAGCTTAAGAGACGGAATTACTACCTCACTTTCAGGACAGCCAATACTGCCAACAACTTACAGTACCTTATCACCTCCTGGGTGTCGGAAAATATATCAACATGCTCCACAAACTAATGTCACACCAAGGTTAGCATTGGACAACTCAAGGTGTCCATCAACTATGATAATGGCAGCAAAAATGTATCAGCCAACTACAGGTGGTGATACTTTTGTCAGTCAACACCCCCAAACTCCAACATCACTGCTATTACAACAACAACAAGAACAATCACAGAGTGTTGTCAATTCCATTCCAAATTATGCAATGCCATTTGGTCAGTTAGTCAACGGAATCGATTCTAACAGGAATGCTTATTTTCCTACTAATCTCTATTCCCCTCCACTCTGTCCTATAGCTAGTAATTTACGCCTACAGTCAGCTAATAGTCTGCAGTCGTTAGATCATCTACGACCAACTGGTTTGTTAAATAAAAATAATCCAACTGGTGATAATTTGATTAGCAGAGGTATACTGATTGGTATAAATGGTTATTGCCAACAAAATAGAAACGTACCTGAACACTACTATCAAACACCTACAAGTTTACAACAACATGAACAACGACAGAAACACCAACCTTTACTTCCTCGAAGGTCAGACTCTTTCTCACAACCTCAAGTACTATCAACTGTAAAAATGTCTGATATAGATGATACTAAGTTGTTAGGCAACATAACCCCCAATATGTCGAACTTAACCGAAACAAGAAGAGTTCGTCCTATGGAAAGGAGACGGTATACACAGTATGGAATTTATTATCCTACAGAGTTTGAAAATGACCTTGCACAACAGAAGCAAGAAATTGTAAAGCAACATGTTTTCATGAACCAATCTTATCAAGTGCCTAAAATCAATAATACTTATGTCAAGATTGATAACACTGCTGGAACTAATTCTGTAATCTCTGAAGAGAATCTAATAAATTCGGAACCACTGTTTACTGATTTACATTTAGGAAGTAATACTGAGTCAACTATACCTTTAAGTATGAGACGTCGAAAGCCAGTCAATGCACGAAGGGTTTGTTTATTTACCTTTTTCACTTGCTGTAATTTACTAGTATTATCGTATCTTAAAACATAGAGGTTGACTAAGTTACTTTAACATGTAAGGAACTCGATAAGATAGGTAAATCAGTCTATGAAATCGTGAAACTTCATTAACTGAGTCGTTTTGGGTATATGTTCTGCACAATGAGTTATCGCCTCCATTAATACGCGTAGTCATTTGACGTAAGGTAAAAGTGAAAGCAGGTGAAGAGTGGTTAGACAAAGAAGTGACTTCATTTCATGAAATTTCTTACTGTTAGTTTGAGTTATGTGAAGAAATGTAAGCTGACCAATTGGTGTTTTTGAGACGATAGAAATCGATACTGGAAGAATCCTGCTGAAACTGGACCAGAGTGATATCAGATGAGTACACTGTGTGTTATCTCTAAAAGTTGCTTCTTTGTTAGACATATTTGGTTTACCTTAGTGTCATTTTTTGTTTAGTCACTTGATCTCATCTGTTTGTAGTAGTACTGGACAAACACTTTATTACCAGTCATTACTTAATCTTAAACAGAATTTTAGAAATATATGTGAGATAATTGATCAACAATTGTATTTTACAAAACAACATGTGGAGAATATTTTGTAGCTCAGGTGGATGGTCTTGGTTTTATTGTGTTCTCTGAGATGGGGTGTTTAATTATGAAGCTTTCATAGCCTTGCTAGACGACATCGTCACCATTAACTTCAGTATGAAGTGAGCTGTCAATATCTCTCCATGAGTGATTTAGTAGCTTGCTCTATGTGATCTGTGATTGGTTGTCTCCTTCAATTGTTGTATCATTGATTGTATAGACTTTCCTGTTAGGTGTCACTCTGCTTGACCTCTGGCCCTTCTATCGTTTATCAATTACGACAGAAAGGTCAGAGGTTGTACAGAGGAACAGCCAAAAGGTACTGATGATGTCGTCTAACAAGACGATGGAAGCTTCACGATTAAACAATCCAACCCAGAGAACACAATACAACCAAGAAAACAAAAATGTGTTTAGTCAAACTACTTGGGCAATGTTGTCAGGTTATCACGATTAAGAGTGATTGATTAAAAAGCCAAGGTGATTAGATATTAGCTGATGATCGTTTTGTTTTACACAATAGTTGGATATTCATCTAACTATTTCAGAATAAACATGTATTCAACCTTAGACTACTACTCCAACTACATTCAATGATGAAACTTGTTCATCTAATCACCACCAGGCAACACATGTAATAGAAATGAGGCAGCACCTATGCCAGAGATATGGAGAGTTTTACTATCAATATAAACGGAGGATATGAGGTGATAAGAATATAAAAGTGAGATGGGATTAAACTGATATGATTATGAGCAATGATAATCTATGCCCGAAACTTCGTCATCAAGTAAGTAATACTATATCATTCACTATGTGTTATAAATCAAACAGACAAATGTGATATGGAATTACACCTTTATTAATCAAGAAATCACTTTAATAAGTCATTGGCAATATTTACCAGGCAATTTAAGATGACCTATTTTACCAACTCTTGAAATCACCAATTCATTCATTTAAACATCCATATTAGGACAAAACAATCGTTCAGTACTCCTAGATTCCTAATGTTCCTTCATCTAATATTAGTCTAAGATAAATATCAACTTGACATTCAGAGTACTTCGACAAAACAATAAGAAGACGTAAATTATCTGAACCATGTAATGTATTTGCGCGACATATTTCAGCCTATCTGATCACATACGTACTTGTCATAATGTCTCATTTTATTACTCCAAATGCTGCTTCAAATTGATCAGTAGCCTTGATGAATTGATGGTGATACAGTATTACTTACGTTTCGAGCATAAAATATCATTGCTCATAATTCATATCAGTGTCTGACTTTTATATTCCTATCACCTCATAGCCTCCGTTTATATTAGTAGTAAAATTTTCCATATCTCTAGTATAGGTGTTGCGTCATTTCTATTACACATGTGTCGACTGGGTATTGATTCGATGAACAAGGATTCAGTAATCAATCTCTCCCTGTCTCTCCACCAAAAATTATATTGGACTTAAGTAAAGTACAGTGGCTTTATCCCACCCACCCTATTGTGTGGTTGTGTGTTAATGCATGCAACCAATAACCGAGTGTTTTTCTAGATTATTGATCTTACTCGGGTCTGTCATTCTATATTTAGCTAAATCCCTATGTTCGTCCATTCTAACTGACCCCGATCGGCTAGGTTGACCTATTACTTGACCTTACAGCCATTACATGGGATTTGATAAATTAAATTATTTTGCTTAATTAGTTCCATCGGATCCTTAAGCTAGCCAACAAAGTTCATCTCTGAGTGAGTTTGTAGGTCTAAACGCCATCCTAATTCTAGTCTTGTTGAGGATCCTACGTAAGGTTTCTGATGTTCCTTCGTTATATGACAACAAAATAGAGGTTTTCAACTCTTTTCTACTCGTGTTACCGTTATTATGTGCATTCAGTTGTTTATCGATGATCATTGTGACAGTTCGTAACTTCAACCTAGAGTGAAGCTGTTAAATTTGTTTTGCTATTCATTTATTATCTTGAAAAAAGTTAGACAGATACATTTTCACTTATTTAAACTTGTAATTCACTATAGATTTGTATACTGAACCAAGTTTATTGATTTGTGTTTGTGATGGTTACTAAGTATGGTACTGACTGTCGAGATATCAGACTGTCTATCAAAAGACGAGTATACTGAGTTACAGTTTGTTCCTTCCTGTTTCATGGCTGTGAGACATGATAATCAAAGTAAAAAAGTTGAAGTGGTTACAGAGTATTATTGACAGATATCTTCATGGGATTGCTTGAGTTTGGTAGAATCACCGTGTGAGCAATGTTGAGGTTAAGCGAAGGATGCTGTGCAAGACAGCCAGGTTGATTGGTGAAGTTGTGAACCTAAGTCAAGTGAGATGACTTCAACATGTACTACACATGGCGCATCATCGCTTGCCTTGATGTGTCATGCTAAAAGAATTTGGACTGGGTTAGAAGAGAGTTCAGAGTGACTAGTACAAGATGTAACACCTGTCATTGAAGTCTTTGACTGTTGGTATGAGCCGTTTAAGGGGGGGGGGTGGACTACCTGGCCAGGGTTCGCGAGATGGTTGCTGAAAATCAATCTCAGTGGCGCAGATGTATTCACTCCTTAATGTCTTCTGTGACTTGGTATCACTTTTTCTGTTGACAAGTTCTTTGTATGCTACCGTAAGGTGTTAAAGCTCGAACCAATGCACTTGTGTATGAGTTTCTATGTTGATTTTATTGTTTGTCGGGTTCGTAAGGATATTTCGGTTAGTTACTGCCTCGATACTGGCTGAGATATGCTTTTATAAGACGGCAATATTCTAGACTTAATTTTAGGCGATTTCATGTTTGTGCATACGTTTTTCATATTTTCGGAGATTGACAATATTTTAGCTTTTATGTGAAGAGTTTGAATAGTATCTTCATCAGCGGATGGCGGCAAAAATAGGAATTTGGTAATCCTATAGTGTGGACGTATCTGAACCTCCAAGTTGATCTTTTTGCATGGAGCATAACAGTTACTCTATATATCGTACATGCTTATAAGAATTCTTGATACTTCACTGATACACCAGAATTGCAGAAGAGTATAGCTGTCATTCAATGCGATAACCAATCCCTTAGAAAGTATTCTAATTAATCATTCTACTCTTTTCAAGATATTTTACATTCAGAACTAATGTCATAGATAGTGACAGTAGAAACCGAGAGATACTGTCTCTTCTTACTTTTAAACTCCTCAGCAGCACTCTTACTCAATGACTTTCTTAATCGAGTCCAACAGTTCAAGATCATGAAGTGAATATGCAATCACTGATCTTCTAGTACTTGTTACTCCCTTTTTCACTTTGTAGCTGTAGGCGATAGCACTTAGAGTGGATGATTTAGAATGTATACATTTAGTTAACCCATATCACACCGTCTCAGAATCACGTATTTCCAGTACTGTATTAGTTAGTTAGCTATATCAGTTAATGATTAAAGTAAGAGTTCGGTTGTATTACTAATCATTACTTCATACCCTTGAAATACAATATCTCCTGAATACAAATTGATTTTACCAAGCTATGAGGTAATAACAAGTTCATGAATTCCCTTGTTACTTATTAATGCGGCCATAAACGCCTTATATAGCCATTTACAACTACAGTGTATCCATTACTCAACTATCAGATTGTAGAATTCTATTTCTGAATGGAAAATACTCTGAATTTACCTGCAATTTCAACAGAACTAGCTGCAGTGATCACTAGCCGACTTATCAACCAACATGATAAACATATAAGACATTGGAAAACATTTTTTTTAAATATATGATAACAGACACACACTCATACGCATACACACAAATATGCACCTGCTCGTTAACCCAGTAACTAATTTGATTCGTTTGCTATAGGCCCGCATTTTGAAAGAAGACAAAGCACTTCTTCGCCTTTTTCTTATCCTGAAATTAAAATTTTTTTGTCATAATCTGTTGCTTAAGCCCCAAGACTTCAAGCTTTTCACATTCACATTACCGATCTACAAGCTAATCTGTGTATATGACACAAAACAAGATACTGTGCAGTACCAGGTTTATGACCTAAGAGAAAAATTCTTGTTGTATTTTTCCCCTACTTCATCTATTTATTTCCTATCTCCCTCTACCTCATCTTTTCCCATAGATTTAACATGGTTAAAACGTTGTTAAAGGACAAGTTAAATGTGCTGCAATCCAAGGTATCTTGTTGTATGGGTGTGAGATATAGTTATCAAATGTGAAGACATGAGTGGTTTCATTCTTTTTATCATAGGTGTCTTCGCAGCATTGATCGTTTTTTGGTTGAATCACTGTATAGGTAATTCTGAAGTCAGGCGAAGGGTGCTAGAGAAGACAGGCAAATCGACTAATGAGGTAGTGAAACTTCATCGACTTAGGTGGTTTATGTATGTGTTGTGGATGTCGAGCCACCACCTATCTCAACATACAATGTTAGGGGAAGTTGGAGTAAGTTGGAAGAGGGTTCAGAGTAAACAGTACAAAATGTGACACCAGTCTATGAAGTCTCTGACTGTAGGTTTGAGTCATTTAGGGAGGATTAGACCACCTGACTGAAGTTCACGAGATGATAGGAGTAAGTAGTTAAGGGACTGTTAGTGAAATTTCTGGAAGTCCGTCACAATCACGCTATGAAGTTTCTAAAGCTTGAATATTTTTACTAACCTTTATCTTCAAATTGTTTTTCTTTCTAGTCACATATTCTTTTTATACTACTGTGAAATGTGACAAGTTGAGGTTATGCCTTTATACATGAAGTTGTACGCCGATTTTGTCAGTCAGTTTATAATAATGGCGACTATTTCGAAAAACATTTACGACACAGTATAAATATCGAAATGATCATAGGGAACTGAAAAGCACACAGCAGCCTTATAAACATTTGTGCAATGGACAATGATCCACACCTTCTATGTGATAGCTAATGATAAAACGTAGCTGCTCAAATCTGAGTAGGTGGAGCGGGACTCGAACCCATAACTCACTGGGTGAAGTACAACTCCTTTATCCAATGAGCTACAGTTCCAAAAAGTATTATAGCAACTGAATGTTGGTAACAATAACATTAATGCAGATAATATTGCATAAAAGATAAGTAGGATAAAGTAGCTATCTACTTACTGCCATAAAGTTTAGGAGTAAGTTGTTTTGTTTACACTTCTCTCTCCTTCAAATGATGCTTACCAGATAAAGTATTGTTGATCTTTTGTAATCAACTGTATGAGCTTCTTATTCCACAGCTGTGAACAATAGGAGTAGTCAGAAACTAACCACCCTGATTTGTCTATTTTGCCAACCACATCAGAGTGAACTAAAAACTGGACAGTCATTTATCTCTTTTGGTGCTGAGTGTTCATCATTAGTTTACCTAGATAAATTTAGCTCACAAAGTTGAAATTTTGTTCATATGTTTCAGTTTTAAGAGAAAGTAGATTGTTGTCCAACTGTTATTGGCTAACTATTCTCAATTGATAGAAAAATCTACACCGAAATACAGAAATTTGCCTTTTCGAATGGATTAGAGAAACTTGTTATGACAACAAGTCTTACAGCTATATAGAGATACTCCATGTACCATGTTTTTTTACCCACACGATTGTCAATCTGTCTATCCAGCTAACAGCTTTATCTAAATGTTCAAAGTCAGGACATTTAAGTCTTAAACACTCAATAACCCAGGAGATTTCAATGTATTACACTTTTTATATACCAACTCTTTGCATCTGTTGACATTGTATACAATGGATAAATCTGAAGTGAGAATACACAAATGGTTGAATATCAAATGTTTAATTTAACCTGAGAAGTAAGTAGTGAGCTCCACTATCAAATGAATTTTGCTGATATCGTAATAGAATGAATCGAGAAAAATCTATGTTATTTCCATGATACTCTATATGAAATAAGAGTTATGAACTTAATTCAAACTGGACAATTCGTCAACCTTCCTGTTGTTCAGCAAACGGACACTTAGATCAACGATCAGTTATTTATCTATTACTGCTATTCATATCATCATTTGTTTCCATTTTACTTCAGTTTCATATGAATAATGTAGCTGTCAATCAATATACTTTATCCTTGATTAATTATATTATAAATCAAATCACTTATGTCAATTATTTAATGCATTTTTCTTTTAATATTAGGCTCATGTAGTATCAGCTTTTGAGCAAAGTTTGAATAATATGTCTCAACGACTACAGAATCTAACAAATACAACAACTCGAAAAGTAAGTTCTTCGGTGTTGTTTATCGAAATAGATTAATTATGAGTTTGTAGAGTATTATTGATTTCAAGGTTGTTTTTATTATTAATTATGGGGATTTGGAAATATTTCAAGTTGTTGTTCATCGTAGACTGACATCATTTGGAGGAACAAAGGAGCATTGGACAACTGTTTCGTCCTAGTATAGGGCTCCTCGGCAGTGCCCATATACGACGCCGCCAGGGATCGAATCCGTGACCTTCAGGTTCCGTGGCAAGCACGTTACCATTCAGCCACTAACTCGGAGGGATTCAATGGTTCGCGATATAGCACAACCGCCACCCAATGTCATCGCTGAGTAACTGTCCTTACGACCATCAGGCTTTGCCCCCACCGGTCACTTCTCATTGGAACTTTGGGAATACCTCTCGAAGCTAGTCACCAATGAGCGCCAGTTCAAGGTCAAGAGTTCGATCCCAGGAGGGGTAGTGGGTGTGCACTGCTGAGGAGTCCCATACTAGGACGAAACAGCTGTCCAGTGTTTCCAGGTCTCCTTTGTTCCTCCAACTGATGTCAGTCTACGGTGAATAACAACTTGTAATTGACATTAGTTGAAAAACAAGTGAAAACTTGATAGCTGTTTTGCCCTACTGTCATCAATCGACATGGATTCTCACCACCGACTTGGTTGATGTCACAGTTAACAACATATGAATCGAACTTAGAGAAATCTATCTCGAAGTGAGTCACTGATGAGACTAAGGTGAAAGTCATGTTCACTGTTTAAAGGCTTTAAATGGTTCTCCTAATGATGTCCATCAGTCAGCGACATCGTCTTGTGTCTCAGTTTAATGTTATTCAGCTTTGTGATCACTGTATACTCATTCATCAGGTAGATCTATGGTCCGTGATATGTGCCAAAGTTAAGGTCCTCCTAATTAATTCTGTTGACTTTGTTTAACTGATATGATCTAACAGTTTCTTAAGCTATTTATTCTCTTGACAGACTGGCAAAACTTTCACTTCTTGAAGTAATTTTGAGATCTGGTTGGCAGTTAAATTGCACTAAGCTGGTAATCTAGAGGTCATTAGTTCGAATCCTTGCCTTTGAATACGAATATGTAGTTTACTTTACACCGTACTTCCCAAACTAGTCACCAGTCTGTAGCCGTGTAGCCATCTAGTCCTCAGTATTCTTTCCTGACTTAAGTTTAATCATTTGTGACCGATTGTTGTATAAATATCAATCCTACAGGAGGTCAGTCAAAACTTGAATAGCTTAGTGATAGAATTTCTAACTTCAGCGCCAAGTAGTATAGGTTAGAGTTACCTAAGTAACACTAGACACTCTTTACTGATGAGTGGAAACAAGCAAAAACCTACATCAAGCAGAACTTGACTCTCAACCTCAGTCACTAAGTCAATGTAATAATTTTCCTAGTTGTATAGTGTCATAAGTAAAACATATAGTAGATTAAACTTTGAAAATACTTAGAGAACAGGTCAAGAATTGTTTGCGTATCATAGTAAAATTAAAGCCTTCAGTGTGACTTTCTTGAACCGGGTTGAGAGTAGTTGGACAACATTGAAAATCAATCTTCTCGAGAGTAAGGACTGCTTGCTATTTATACAGTCTGGTAATGAAAATTAACCTATTGAATCAATCACTTCAGGAAATTCAATAGCAAAAGCCGACTAATGCTGTATGAATGATTGGCCCTGACAATTAGGTAGGGAATGTTATGATTGAAGAAGCTGAAGTCTTTCAGTTTAAATAGCTATATCAACTATGACTGACCACCTGGCAACGAATTACCGATGGACAAATATACAGGCGGTTAATATTCTCTAATTTTTCATATATGACGATATAGACGATTTATCAAAGGATAACAAACTTTCCATTGCTTCGACTCTGTGGAACAATCAGATGTACAGTGCTGAAATGAGATTAAGATAAAGTAAATTCATCACCTGGGAAACCATAAACTTGCACTAACTCAGATAATCAAGATACATGTCACATATGCTCAACCAACGACCTGTTCAACTACTCAAAATAAGAATGATGAAAGCCTTTTGAAAGCATTACTGAATAAATTCATCACTATGAACAAACACAAATTTTGACTAGTAAAGATCTGTGTAAAAGGAAGAACTTCAGCATGGAATAATAGGTAATAAATTTATTTTTTTGTCGATGTACTTGCAATTCTCCGTTGTTTTGCTGGATCGAATTGTTCGATTTGCCGGCTCAAATTATTAAGTGAACGATTTCTTGGTCAACAATTCCACCACCTAAGCTAGGGAAAATTCGATCCAGAAGAAAAAGAGAGAATTAAAAGCACATTAACAAAAGGTTGTAACTAATACCCGTTTTACAAGAGGTGGCTATCATACTTCAGTTGCCGGGTTGATAACGCTTTGGCGTTCGAAGCAATGGGTATGAGGCTCGAGTCTCAGTGGGAACAACATCACTCACTGATGAGTCCCAAATAGAACAAAACGTGCGCCCTGGATTCTCCTGCTAGCCACAACAAAGTAAATTACCGTAATAAACTGACCCCCCCCCCCAAAAAAAAAAGACAGATAAGTGAACCTTTCCTATGATTTTGAAGACCATGCTCCCTATTGTTTGGGTTCTAACTGACATGTATCAACTGCTTTCTATGTGCTGCTTTGATGCATAGTCACTTAAATCAGTTCAGTTTTGCACAGGATCTCAGTTGGTTAAAGTCAGTCAGAGGTTTGCTGTACTTTTTTCAGTTATATGATACTATTCTCGATTGCCACTTGATTATCATAGTCTTTTTTTATTTTCATTTCAAAAGGATTCAGAACTACATGAGCTTAGAGCTACCATCGATGCACTTCGTAGTCAAGCAGAGTTGGGTCTTTTAAAGAAACCACCAATCAACCGACCTTGTGAATTAAATCGGTCCAACACAAAAGATACATTAAAACAAGGAAATGTACTAACTGCTAGCAGTAGTGCTGGTGAAAGTGAAGAAGCAATTCATAGATCAAGTTTAACAAATTCAAACTTAAGCTTAATAGATGTTGATAGTCATTCTTTACAACAGGCAGAAAATTCAACTGATAAAGTGCCCTCAACTTCTGGTTTAAAATCCTCCGGTGTTAATACAAAGAAAAATGGATGGGTAAGTGAGAGTGATTTTATTCAGTTTAACCAATAAGGTTGTTCATTTTCCTTATGTTGATAGACAAATTTGAAGAAAATGAAAATTATATTGATTGGTCACAGGAGAGTAACCAATTTTATCTTGTCTGGTTCTGAATACGGATCGAATTCTATCTATCCATGCTAATCATAGCATGGACATTGATAGATGTTAGTTGGTTGAAGGCAAAATAATCAGATACACCTAACCGATGAGTGCCAACATGTACGAAACCTAAGTTGAGCAGAGTTTCCAGCTGATTGCCTTCAATTAACTTACAGATGAAGGAAGCTAAAATCAATGATAATATTGGAGTATTATCTATTTGAAATATTATTTAGAATAATGTAACATAGTGATCTTATACAAAGGCGTGTAGTAAACAGCGATTCAAGGAGGCTTAGTGACTATCCTGTGGGAATCAAGATGAGTAGTTTCATATCCTACTTGTCTTCTGAATTCTGAGATGAAATGAGACAAAAATTCATCTTCTGTTAGGATTAAAAAGTGCCAGCTACCTGATAATTTCAACTGGCAATTGGGTTGTTAAATGTCATCAACATTCTTAAGAAGTTACCAGAACCAGTAGCGCATGCGATCATGCTCAGATGTACTTTCTGAAATGTTTTCTTCTTAATAATTCTTTAGAAATATGTTCAACTCTGACAGAAACACTTATTGGATAAAAACACAACAATAGGCAGATAGACAAAAGGTGGGTAAATCGGGAAGAAGAATACATCTTCCAGTCGGTTATTTAGTCAGCCTCAAACCACTATATAGCCTACTTTATTAGATAGTCTTTGCTACTGTTCCAAAAGTATAGCTGGTTGGTTCCAGAATATTTGGTCAAGGGAATCATTAGTGCATATCAGAAGTAGTCCTAAAGTATGTGGACTATAATAATAACAATAATAATCATTTTATTCCAAACAATATTTATGACAGTAATTTTTCAACAAATTCACTTTGACAACAATAATACTTTCAGATGAAATGGTTAGTTATTACATCGAAATGATGTTAATAATAACAATATTCAAGACAATAATGTGAAATAGCCAGTTGGTTCTGGATAGGCATTCGGTCCATAATGAAGAATCAAAAGTAATGTAAGCGTGGTGTTGGTGATCCATTCAGATGGTAGAAAAATCTATAAGTCAAGCTAAACATCTTAGGGATAGAAATATGATGTACACTTTTTTTTTGAATGGAAAAGTCCATTTACATAACATAACGTAACATTTTTCCTTTGTTTTATTATTTACTCCAGAAATGAAGAGTCGGAAACAGTTTTAAAAATATACAAGAATATATGATATATTAAAATGATTAAAATAAATTGAAAGGAAAAAATTTGATAAAAAAAATATTCGATGAATAAATTTAGTAGCTCAAGTTTTAAGCAGGCCATCGTATAGTTCTAATAACAAGATATATATCAGTAAAATTCATTTCCTTTGAAAATATTTGATGAGTCAAAGGGGTGTTACAAAACTATATTATTCACTAATGAGATTCTTAAGCTATGGTTTTGATTAGTTGTGAATGAAATTAATGAAGATGAAAAGTTTTAAGATATTCTACGATATGGAACAACTACAATTCAACACTTTCTTCTTGATTTCAAATAATTTCTCATCTAACTTTAAACTTCATAGAAAATTATCACAAATCAAAGTTTTATTAGGGTGAATCCACAATACTGTGAAGGATTGAGTCGAAGAAATCTGAGTTTCAGGATAAGCTCATCGTAGTTCAGCCTGTAGATTCTTAGTACTATGGTACCGTTAGTAAGTATCTGTTATTATACCAGGTTTGGTCTGCCCTACTTTAGATCATAACTTCAACAAGTCGATCTAATAAACTAATAAATCAAACAAATCAGTGACCATATGCAGTTATGTACAATGTTTTGCCAGAACTGGTGGTATCACCTGGTTACCTGAACCTTGGTAGATGGAATGGACTTCCTATCGGTAACTCAGTAGTTGAAATTTGACTATCTAAACTCAAATTATTGGCTGTACGTTAAATTATTCATTGCGTGATCTAACTACACTGTGCTTGATCCTGAATGTCATCATAGATGGTGGTCACTAAGCAGCAATCCCATCTAAGACGAAACAAGACTTCAGTAGCTCCAGAAGTGACATCTATTTATGCTGTAAACACGTCCATCTGTCTGTCAGTTAGATATAACTGACAATAAAAATAAAAGACCAATAGGAAGTACAAAATCAAAACTCTAAGATCAATTACAGGAGAATATTGGAATATTCTTTTATTAACGGAATTATATGAAGTATATAATTCAGGGAGTTTTTTGATTTTGTTTAGTTCAAAGTCTGGTTATAGATTATTATTATTATTATTATTATTATTATTATTATTATTATTATTGATACGTAGCTGTAATTGAATTTATTTAGTGTAATCTAAACTTGGCTGGTTAATTGGCCAAAGGATTAATCAATCAACCAATCAATACAATGTCTAGTTTATCAACCAATCAGAAAACACCTTAAACTTTCATTTGCCTTCTTTGGCTTACTATTGAGTCATTAATCACTTTACTCCCTATTTTGGTGATGTTTTCTTTTGAAATGCTGAGAAAACACATTATTATTCTATTCTATACAGACATAGACCACCACTATTATTCGAACCAGTAACAGTAAGAGTAGTAGTCATTGTTGTTGTAATAACTAAGGTGTTACTGAAGCGTATACCGCTAAGTATTGTAAAACATTATGATTGTCATTCGGAGAACATGAATTATTTTCTCAGGGGAGTGGCAAAAAAGAGGATACATTTAAGAGTAGTAAAATTTTTATTCGCAAGAAAAATATTTCCTTTGAACGACTTTGACATTAAGCTGTAAAGATATATTTCTAGTTGGTGACAAAACAGATAGGTTACAATTTAAAAATTTTCTCAGTCACTTTACACATAATACAATTGGTGATAGTGGGTTTATTCATGTGAATAGAATGCAACAGCTTCGTTTGCAACACATTCATTTGCCACTTGCTCCGAGATGGATTTCCTGAAGTCCTTGGTGTGTGGAGTGAGGCTAGTCGAGAGTGAGGATGGATAGTCATCGATGACCATCAGTAGATAACTGTTCTAGATCAGGGACTGATAGGAGTAAGGTAATGTGGATCATAGGATTGCAATCCAGCAGCTGAATGAAATCGAGATGAAATAAAAATCCACTCAGCTACCTTGCGCATATTAATACGGTAGACAATCAGCCATACCTGGTATGTGAGGGTTAGTGATACTACCTAGCTGCCCAAACCTCGGTAGGTGGAACGATTTTTGAACGCATATTCCAATGGTTGAAAGCCATCTCCCTAAGGCAATGAGCAACAACTTTACAATAGCTGAATGGCAACATACTCACCAAGAGACTTCTTGGTCAGGGGTTCCATCTCCCCGAGGTCATAGGTGTGCATTGCTAATGATTTCCAGACCAGGATAAAGCGAATCTTCAGTGCTTCCAGGTTTTCAGTGGTCCTACAGCTAATGTCAATCAGTGATGAAAATAACTTTGACATAGCAATCGGCTATAAGTATTCCCTTCTTGGTTATGAGTACAAAAGCCTAGCTTTGGACTACTGTTTGCAAATGAAACATACAGGTGTTTAATTTTACAACCGAACAGCTAGCCGCCTACACGAATTCCACCAATGGTTTTTACTGGATATTTACTAATGTTATATTTTGTATCACACAATACTTACCAGCGTTGGGTGCTGAATAGTTATTGGTAAATGTTAAGAAGCTCAACATTTGCGTATCCAGCAGGTCTTCACTTTGGTCAATAAAGGTTTGACCCAGGTGCCACGTGAATCTGAGACACGTTACTGTCCATTCACCGTAATCGGACCAATTGTCCAACAAGATCTCATCGAACTTTAAATCGAGCTGAATTAGAGAGACGGAGTGTGGCAGTGATTATTACTACGACTATCTGAAACAGATGTATTTCGATAAATTGTTGTTATTGATATCAGCTGAGGATTGAAGGTGAAATGAAAATCTGGGTTGCGACAAGATTCAAATCCATGACTTCTGCGTTACTCCCCACAACACTCCGGTGATTGAGCTCTCAGTATTAGCTGCTAATGAGGTTTTAACTTCCTCTGACAGCTAGGAATAACTCTCTATGATGAAGCTAAGTTAAGACTTGGCCGACATCTGACCAGGAACCCAGAGATAGCTGGTTCGAGACGTACCATGAACCAGGTTTATCATATTCTATGAAACACCTATTTTTATTCAACCCTTATTGTTTCCCAATGTTATTGTGTCTTAATCATTTCGGTACTTCTGTAGATAGAAAGAAGGCTGTCCTATATGTACAAAATATGATGCGACTACTCATCTTGATGCAAGCTGTCGGCTTGATTTGCTTAGTTTCTGTATACTGATATCACTATGTTTATTATCCAGCTAGATATAACTAAATTAAGTTGTTTTCTGAATTATTTAAACATCCATAACTTCTGTATGTTCTTATTCAGCAGTCTTTTTCGATGAAGAAGGCTAAATCGAAGCCGGGGGCTAAAGAACTTTACAGATACTCTCTGGAATAATGGCAACTGAAGTTCTGATTTATAGTAGATATCCTATTCTTTACATAAATATGTTTTTTTTTTTGATGGGGAAATACCTCATTATGCAGTCTGCTAAAATCAGTATGATGAAAACAAAAGTGCTCATCGTGTAACAAATAAACTCAATTCATCTTATATCACTTAGTTATCCAATTGAACCACACCGTTAATAACATTCACAAGCATAGAGAAATTTATGCTCCACTCAAGTAGTATTACATTCGAAAGCATTGCCTAAGAACACTGGACAGGTTACAGTGCCCAAGTTATGAATTTCTGGTCATTAAATAATATTTAACCCGAAGAAGAAACAAAATATGAAACTGTTTTTTTTTTGGTTATATGATTATTTTTAACTCAAGAAGCTGATCAAAGGAGTTGTTGATACTCACTTTGACGTAGAATTAGTCATGGAGGCTAACAAAGGTGAAAGATTGCACTCAATTTTCGGTAAGCTAACATAGCAGTATTCATTCCAAATATAGTCACATGAAAAGCACAGTGTTACATAGCCTATAAATACTCAAGGGAATCTCAAGTAGTCTTAACATCTGTATAACGATAAACAGCAAAGAACCTTTGGTGACTGAGGTGGGTTGGATATATACTGCAAATACCAAGCCACAGTCTACCACAATGTGCAATACTAGCAGAAGTTGGATTAGGTTGGAAGAAGCCCCAGGATACCCAGAGCAAGAAGTGATACTAGTGTATGAAATTCATGACTATTGGTTTTGGCTGTGAGGGGGGAGCACTTGTCTAGTGTCATTTTGAAATTACTTAATACAGCATCAATCTTTTTTATGAACTTCCCACAGTAGTTTAAATTTAGTCAGTGGACGGGAACTCGATGATGACTGTAATCGATCTAATCGATCATATGTTCCAACCTTTATTTTAATATTCTGACATTACTTTTTACCGTCACAATATTTCATAAGAAATTTCGATTGGTTTTATTTATCTCACTTTATTCAGTATGGAGTAATATGATCAGTTGTTTTAATAAAAAAATTATCCAGTCCATATTTCATCTTTATGCATGACTTAGAAATCATTTAACTAGGAAATGGCAAGAAATAACATTATACAATGGATTCCATCCTATCGACTTAACATTGATGCGTTTATTGATTGGTTTGAAGAAGGATTCTAAAGAAAGTATTCAATAGTTCCTTCTTCTTCAATGCCTATTTGGTAGACATCCACTCATCATAGTGAAAACCTGTCTTTGCATTAGTGCATATTATGATACTTTGTATTTTTCAATAGTAATAATACTCCATTTCATATCTATCAATTTTTCTTCTGCTTCTTCTCTCTCTCTCTCTGTTTGTATTTCGCTTTAATTAGCTAAGGAATTCATTAGGTAAAGCATTCCGAAAAAAAAGCTCATCTATACATTCTCAAAGTGATCTAGATTGTCAGACTTCACCACAACATGCCTCTACTTATAATTTCCCAATCAAATTAGTAGTCACAATACCAATACTAATCTTCCCCCTGGTCATCCATCTAATTTACCTCAAAGTCCAACTATGGATCATAAAGGTGGACTACATATAGCAGTTAGTCAATCTCATGCTAATTCAGTTTCACTATCTACTGGAAGGAATAATATTTTGTCTATAACACCTAATGGTCATTTAATAAATGGACTATCACCGTCGAATTCATCGACATCTTCATCATCATGGAGTGCATCTGGGATAAGTGCTGGAGGACAGAGTAATGCTACTACTACTACTACTACTACTACCACCTTACCGAATGCTAATGAACAAACAGGTAAGTCTATAGGATGATTTATTCCTTGAGATTGTAGTGTTCCATAATTCTATTACATTTCTGTTGTTGACAAAAAGTAGCTTTCATAAATTCTTAGAGTATTCAGTAGTGTTATACTTCTCAGTGGAGTCGAATCAACTTCAACCACTGGGATCCTGCTAGATGTAATTACTCTGACAATATTATAAGTTGGCTAAGGAGAGTAATACTCCTGTGAACCGATGATTTACATAGATGGAATTTATGCTGAGTAGGACAAAATAACTCTCAGTGTTTTCTAACCAAAAGGATTACATGGTCGACAATCATAAATTATTCCATCACGGTCATATTAGGGACGAATATGAAACGTACAGTGCTACGTCCTCATCCACTTTAATCAGTTTTACTTAGAGTATGTATTCTTTTCATAGACAAGAAAGGCAGTATTATACTATTATAGGAATGGTAGAGTTTTGAAGGTGACTGGTTAGAAAAAGGCTTATCTCTTCATCTGATTATAAAGTTTTCTCTAATGAGAATTAGTTCGTGCTTGCTCTATCTCACAATTATGCGTGCATTACACGGAACCTTATAAATATTATCCTGTATAAAACGGTTTACACAACATCTGTTCAGTCAACAGACAAAGCGAGGTATTCTCACAAAATCTGAGATCCATAGTATTGTCGTGTACACCTGCATTATTCCTTAGCATGAAGATGTGGTTACCTAGTGGAATTTCGTCACAGAAACTGACACAATCTGAAAGCACTGGATAGCTATTTCGTCCTAGTATGAGACTCCTCAGCAGTGGGCACCCAAGACCCCGCCAGGGGTCGAACCCGCGACCCTCAGGTTCCACGGCCAGTGCGTTACCATTGAGCCACTGGGTCGTGGATGCACACTACTGGTGAGCCCCATACTAGGACGAAATAGCTGTCCAGTGCTCTCACGTTTCCTTTCTTCCTCCAACTGATGTCAGTCTACGATGAATAGCAACTTAAAATATTTCCAAATCTCCACAACTCCTCTAAACTATAATCTGAAAGTTTTGAGGTCAATGAAGGATTTCATTTTAGGCAAGCGTATGATTCCTTCTGTTACTCATTGAAGTTTAGAACAATTCTGTTAATAAAACCTTTTTACAAACATGATTCACATTTCTGTAACTTGTATGGGCCACCAGTGAAAGGGTACTCCTAAAGCAACACTCATGAAGTTATATTATTGACAGTGAATCAAGGTGTTTGGATTGATGATAGGGTCTGTGTTATACTCAAATGAACACTGGGGTGTCCATTATGTTATAATTTATGATCTGAATTTTCCTCTCATCATAAAAAGATACTATATATATCTCAGCTAGACTAATACCATTCGAGAACCAGTAACAAAATATCGCGATTAGAAGAATACTTCATACGTACAACTCTAATATGTTTTGTATATCATATGAGAAGATGATTCTTTACCTAGAACTATAGCAGAAATACATGAAAATTTAGGTAAATTTTATATCTTTCGAACCAATGAGTTGAATTGAATAAGCAAGTGACTTAGTATGCTGATGAATCCAGTAGGAATGACTGATTAAAACAACACAGAACATCAAGCTTTAAAAAATGAAGTGAAAGGAAGCAATGAATAGAATTACAACTAACTATATCCATAAATGAATTGAGTGATATGGAGAAAACTGGTTCTCTATGAATTCACGAAAGGATTATAATTTTATCGTTATTATTATATCATTATTATCTTTCCCTTGGATTCCTAATGGAACATATGGCTATATGCTAGTTGTTAGCAATTAAGAACATGAAAAAACAGAAGAAAACCAAACGTGTTAATCTCTGCTCCCAGCTTATAAAGATAAGGGGGAAATCTCATGTATATGTACATACATAGGGTGGAGAATATCTGTAGCTCAGGTGGATGGTCTTGGTTACACACTGATCAAATCCCCAACTACAGTAGTGACAACCCAACAACCCACAAGATCAGTTGCATGCAGACTCTATTCAGAAGAGCGAGAACACGCTGCAGTATAACAACTTCACGGAGAAACGAAGAAAATTACTTGATGCCCATCCTAAAGAAGAACGCTACCCACGAAACTTTATCAGATGATGCCTATCCCGTACATCATCAACTACAAAGTCATCGACACAAATCAACAAACACATCATCCTACATACATAAAGAATATATCAGAAATCACAACAAGATTACTGAGACCACTTGGTGGAATTGGTGTAGCTCATAAAACAACAAATTCCCTCCAAACACTATTATGCAGACCAAATGATGCCACAACCATAGAAGACAAACCAAATATCGTCTACAAAATCAACTGCAACAACTGTAGTCAAGACTACATTGGACAAAATGGTCGCCCTCTTCGCCTTCGTCTACATGAGCATCAATTGGCTATTGAACGTCACACACGACATTTCATCACTCATTTCAGTGCACATGGATAACAACTATGGACATGAATTCAATTTCGACAGTGAAGAAATTTTGGACAGGGAAACACAAAGAATATGATCAGAGAATTCTTAAGAGGTTGGCATTCAGGTCAGTCAGCAATCAACAGATGTATAGACATACACCCAACCAATCAACCAATAATACAACTGGCGACAGGTGGAATGCAATTTTCTGTATCATTAGTGACTCTGTTGCTACAGCTGATTACTCTGTGGTTATCATGAGGGCACTTAAGTTGTTTCTTGAAGTTTTATTTCTACTATTCCTGTAGTGAAGAATACTATTGTAAGAGATGCTGCTGTGTATGGAGGGTTGGGTGGGTAGCAAGTGCAATAATCAAGTTTAAGTTACCTATATAATAGATTGGCAGTCAAATTGGTTGTTTTATCTAAGGACTTTGGTTGACCAATTCTTTTCACTGTCGAAAATAACTGAAATTACAAGACTTATCCGCAAACCTACTGGTCATATATATTTACAACAATATCCAGACTGAAATGTCTGACTTATATTTGAGGTTGGTATTCATCATGGATTGACATCAGTTGTAGGAACATTGGAAACCTGGAAGCGCTGAACAGCTTTTTCGTCCTAGTATGAGACTCCTCAACAATGGGCACCTATGGCCTCGCTAAGACAGGGGTCGGACCCAGGACCTTCAAGTTCCGCTGCCAGCACTGCTGAGGAGGCTCACGCTGGGATGAAACAGCTATTCAGGATTCCCAGGTTTCCACTGTATCTCTAGTTGATGTCAGTCCATGATGAACACCAACTTAAAATCGATAAATCCTTACAAACTTCAAAACCAACTTATATTTCTTGACCTGAATATCATGGTTTTGGTTTACACACACAACTCTAAATGTTCCATTCTACTTCCTGTGTCAATAAAAAGTTAAATTTCTGATCCTTTTATGATCTTCTAAAAGCCGCTTCTTCAAAGAATATGACCAATACAAGTTATCATATATTTGTTTAGTAAGTGGGACAAATCAGGTCACATTCTTCATGTCTGTATGAAAAACTAAATAAAATTAAATAGATTATGGTCATTCATTATTATGTAGTGAGTTTGTGATGATGATGATGATGTGAATTCCTTACGAATTCGTGCATACATATGTAGGTATGTGCATCCAGGTAAGGCGAATGTGAATGAGAAGTTCACTTTGTACATTTATGTGTGTAGATGCCTTTGCAAAAATTTCTTTATGGTTACGGTGATTGACATGCTGTATCCAGATGTACGATTTAAATTGGTTTGTATAGTTCAGCTGTCTGTTTCCATTATTTAGACATTGGGGTATGGTGTAATATGGAATACAATCCATCTTTCACTGAGGTTGAACCCACAGTGGGATACGAACTAGCAACCAACTGGTTTCCGACATATTGCTTTACCAACTGAGCTAAGAGACCTGATTGTCAATTGGATTTTTACTTTATTTCAAACACTAAGAGTTTTGCTTGCGTTACTACCACTTTTTTGCTGGTTTGAATCCCCCCGCAACCCATATTTTCATTCCACCTTAAATCATCACCTAGTATCAATACTAGTCTCTCAAACTACAGCTGTCTTATTGAGATAGTTAAAATGATAATCTGTTGATTGTTGAAAATCATTCAAATGGTTAAAGTAGATTTCAACCGAATACCTTTACTACTGACCTCCCTCAGTACCTCCTGCTTCACTGAGCCGTGAAGAAATCATAACACAACCTGTGATTGCAAGAACAACGACGACTTTTATTAGGCAAATACATGACATATATGTATTGATAAAACTGTCAGAAAGTGAAGCCATAAATGAACCAATGCAATTTGTTGTATGAGGTTGAAGTTCTCCAATCAGGTTCTGATGTCAGCGCATGCATAAATCATGACCTGAACATGATCTGATCATAACTTAAAAACAACTCCCCTATTGGCTGCCTTTTTGTCGCTACGTTTCAATGATTTTTACTTCTCTTTTAGAATGTTTAAGCTAATCCAAAATGAATCACATCTATGCTTCACTAAATAATATCTGTAGGAATGAATAGTTTTATATCAGGAGATAGTTAGCATTGAGTTTTGTTGAATGGAAGTTGAAATACTGATCTAAATATGTTAGTTCATAACAAAACAGGTGCCCTTAAGTTCAGGTTTCCACTAGGATTTTTCTTAATGAAACAATCTGAATATAATAGTTCACGACAAAAGTGTATATCATGTCCATAGAATGAATATAAATATTTACTAGTTTGAACAGGGATTTATAAGGATTTATTGAAAACCTTAGAGTATTTAAAATATATTCTATCCTAGGTTAACACACCTCAATGTTGTTAACCCACACCCCTATGGAAGATCAAATCAAAGACTATCAGAGCACACGACCTTATAACGTTCTAGTTGAAGTCAAGTATTCCACTCTTCCCACTTGCATCAATTCACAATATGCTCCATTCATTATCATACATAGATATCAATCTTACTCTGGTCAAATACATGATTCAATGGAACCAACTAGAAGCAGAGATTCA